GCAAACGCTTCACGGTCGAGTAATCATTGTCAAAGCTCGTTGAGTAAACACGCAATGGCGGCAGTGACGTGAATAATTGAAATCCCAGTGCGACCAGTGCATACACATATTTTCGGGCCTCCGTGGATAATTTATTTTATTAATGCTGAAAATTAAAACATTGTGCACGCTTTAATTAACTTACCTCCCATTGGAAAATTAAAAAAAAACCCTAGATAATAAATCATTTTACTGACAAGAGCAGAGTCAAAGTCACAATGAGGCAAAAATTTAATCAATGTCAAGTGCCGAAAGTTTCTTCGCGAGGGAGGCGGAAGTTTTGACGTCTAGGAGTTGTGATTTGACGCAAATTGGGTATGAAATGTGCGACTGGGAATTTCTCGGCCCCATTTGATTTCGCACGTTGGTTCGCAGGGACGGGCCTGGGGAATTGGCGGCGAAGTAATTGACTCTTCTCAACCGACAAGGCTTTTCGTCACTGTTTGACCTTTGCTAATTGAATCATGTTGACCTGCTACAACGCATCAATTTGTCACTTTTGTTTGCTTCCTGCCTCTTCCGAAAGGCAAATACGAGCAAGATTTTACTCCGAAAATATGATTTCTGCGTTAGAATCATCATAAAATTTTTTTTATTCCATCATTTTCACTAAAGCTAGAAAGAAAACTATTTATTTTGTGCAAGAATTTCACGGTCGAGATGGTGTTTAAAATGAATTTCAATTTTTCCTCAATGCGTCAATCGTTTCATTTAAATAATATATAATAAATAATTTTCCTATGAAGCAATAAACAAATCTTAAAACTGTCGGTGAAAAAAGTAAAATATAAACTTTCCAGTATTACTAATTGTAAGATGGAAATAATTATAATTCAATTTTTCCAAATTTTATTATGGGAAATACTCGTTTCATTGTTCTTAATGAAAAGAATAAACATATGTAATTTTGGTGCAAAAAATTGCACACTTTTTACTTTTGACGAAAACTAAAAGCAGCAGTGTCTGCAGGCGAAACGAATTTAATTCGAGGTGCGTGGGCGAGCAGCAAAACACCGACGGCATTTTTATTCCATTTGGTCCCGCGAGGTCTGCAGTGCCGTCGTCGCCCTGCCATCCCTCAATAAAACTGCCGACCCGCGGTACATGACGGGGTGTACGTGCTCCCTACGGACACCATCGTCATTTTTATTTTTTCCGCGCCGCGACGCCAAGCACAACAGACTGTGTGCACGCCGGTGAGCTTTTTTATTATTTAGGCCAAAAAATTAAATCCGACGTGAGCCGGACGGACGAAATAAAAATCCGCCCCGGCAGTGCCACCGACGAGTGCAAATAAATTTTTTATTTGCTGTGCGGCGAGCGTCGGCGGGCCAAGGCGTAAATCATTTTGCACGTGTGCCGCCCACACCTTCATGAAAACACTATTTTTCCGCGTCGTTGGTTTTGTAACTGTCCAGAATAAAATATTTTATTTATTCAATCTCCTTAAGCTTTAAATAATGATAAAAAGTTTGACAGTTTGGAACTTTGCTATTTAAATCTAGATGGCTATATTTTATATTTTTGTTTTCTTTTTTAATCAATTCAGAAATTTCCTAATAATTTTTCTTCACTAAAGAATAATGATTTATAATTTATTATTAATGTCGTCCTTCTCAAAACATTGGAAAAAAATTGAAATTTTCATATCTAACAATAAATAAAAACCCAAAACAGCGCTACTTTACATAGTGAAATACATAATTATATTTTTATTCAATTTTAATCGATTATATTAATAATTTATTTTTGTCTTTTGCAACAATTTTCAATGGAACTTGATTTGTTGCATTCTATCATTTTCTTTAATTAAATCTGTGAGTGGCGTAGTTTTAATGAATAGCAAGGTGCAATTCAAAAGTAATTTTAATTAAAAAAGCCAAGGGCTGTTGAGCAAAGCGAGAAAAATAATCTGCAGCCTTTCTATTCTATCCTTTATTATAAACATTTTATTGCCACGTGAACTGCGTAGTTAGTCGTGCAGGAGGCTCTCATTAGCTCGCAAATTAATCTTGCACGCGCAAAAAGTTTATTAATGTCGCGGCAGCAGCCAGGGAGAGAGAAAAAAAATGGGTTTTTTAGAGCCTCTGCTCGCTAGCTTTAGCTCCAGGGATGAATAATTTCCAGCAATTTTTGGTTCAGAATAGACCTGTTTACCTCTGGGAATTTTTTGGGCATTGAAAAATTGTGAAATATCTGATTATATAATAAAAAAAGGTTGGATAAAAGTTGATTAAAAAATTAATGAAATTAAATAATTCGCAGGAAAGTTTTCAAGTTTTTTGTTCATATAAAAATTTATAGATGAAGCATAAAAAATACTCTGCATTGAAAACTTTGGCTCGTATAATTTAATTTTATTTGTTTAAAAAATCGTCTGGCTGCGTTGAAACTTTTGTTCCCAACGGTCATGAAAATGGAATCAGAGATAAAATGCGCAGGAAATCTGAATGGGATCGAAAGCACTCGGTTCGAATTGGAATTGCGAGCATGTGTGCTCGCCCTCATATCACTTTAATGGAGGTTGCATGCGCCCCGAGTGCTGCTCTCGCGTTTGTTTGCAAAATATTGCTCGGTCATGATAATAGCAATAAAAAGGGAAGGCAAAGAAGGAAAGAAAGAAACTTGGACCAACAAGTGTTTAATTTTATGACCCACAAAACTGTTTCATCCGGGCCAAAACCATCTGGTGCATGGCAGTAGAATGTGAGCTACGCAGATTTCAAAAATAAAACGCAGATGCGCTCGGCTAAATTTGCAATAAATATTGTAGATTTTCATTTTCTTATTTCAATATCTATACATTTTTCAATAAAAGTTAAAACAGGCTTGGTTTTAAACAAGAATATAATTACGCAAAGAAATATTTTTTTTTTATTATTTCATCTGAAAATCAAATTCTCGGTTATTTCTGCTAATAACAGGATAAAAATTTCAGTCAAAACTACACAAACGAGTAGAAGAAGTAAACAACTTTTAAGTTTAGATGAAATAATTGCCATAAAAATAACAAATTAAAAATAATAAGTTTTCAAATTTGTGTAAATTTCAATTGGCTTTTGTCACCAGCGAAATGGAAGCAATTAAACTCAAAAATTACTCCCTTCTCAGCAAAATACCGTCGCACAATGCAAAGCTACAAGGGCCTACCTTGATACACGTGCATGCTTTTGCTTCTTGCTTTTTGTCGCAGGCAGCGAGTGCCAAACTCCCCACCGCGAAAACACTAAAACACAGCGAGTTACTGCGCCACCGAGCTCTGCTAATTGAATTTTTTACACCACCTGCTGGTGTCGGCTTTGAAATTTCAAGCCCCAACATGATGAAAAGTCCTGAAATATTATCCAAGTGGAATTGGACTGCGTCAACTTCACAGTTCGTTTTGTTTCGCAATTTCCACGAGAACTTGTCAGAGCTGCGCATTTCATTTATTATTTTTTTCAAATACATCCAAATATATACATAGTTAGAAATTTAATTAAATATGAATCTAAATGACAGTTCTGAAAAAAATGATGTGATAGAAATCCTTAACATACATTCATTAATTTATTTGTTGCGTACATAATTCATAAAAAAATTCAATCAACATGATAGATTGATTCTTTGAAAATATAGCAGTTGGAATTTCTTTAACCAGAGTCGCCATAGTTACCATTGCGATGTCACTTTTGTTATTTTTAAATTGAAATAAACCCCTGTCCAATCAAATTGCATTCCATTAGAAAACCTTATTTTTCAGAGCGTTTAGAAATCTTTTTATTAAAAAACATGAAAGAAGAATAATTTTTCCATGATTGAAATAATTTCACATCATTTTTTTAGTTAAATTTTTATTGAACACGTGATTAGTAGATGAAAAAAGTCATGCAATCCGAAAATCTGGTGAAAATTCGTTACCAAACTCGAGGATTGTGTTCCACGCTCAGTGCGCGAGATTAAATTTTTCGCCCGGCAGACCGGATTCATCCTCTTGTCAAAGGCAATCCCTCCCACAATAAATCAGCCCGGCTCCGCGCCGAAAACATTTTTAATCCATTTTTTTGGCCGCACGTTTTTCGAGTGCGTTTTATTTGCCGAGAGTGAGCTGTTGAATAATTCTGGCACTGCAGGATGGAGAGAGATGCTCCCAGTGATAAATCATCTCGCAGTGTGAAAATTTAATATAAATAAATACATAAATACAGAGAGCGTCTGTCAGTCCCACAGAGGAACAAATAAACTGCAGGCGGCGTGCAACGGCGTGATGAATTAGCGAAACTCTAATAAACAGGAAATGAAGCGCGATTTCTCGCCGACAGCAGGCGGTCCGCGCTGCCAATCCGATTTTGCACCCTCGCCCGCTGCTGGTGATTGAATTACCCTGAGGGCGGAATATGGCAAACAATATAAGGAAGCTGCCTTGCTTCCTTATTGAAATATTCATATTTTTATATTTTGATACTAAATATTTTAAATTTTTCCTCTCTGCGTTGGTAATTTAGCTAGTGTGGAATTCAATTTTAAACGAGTTATCTGGTTTCGAAGAATTTTGTAAATTAAAAATCAGAAACAATTTATATTAATTCTTCAGAGAACTTGGTTGGTTATCCAGCTATTTCTTCATTTATCTGGAATTTTTTCAGATAGGCAACCTGTGTTGCATGAAAGTCATGCAGGTTGCATCTTCAAATATCATCAGGCGTTTTACTGGGTATCGATTTAAAACAAAAACAACAAATAATATTAAGGGAAAATTTCTTTTAAATCTAAACTGAATGACATAATTTCACATAGTTTTTTTGATTTCATAATTTTAAATTGGTTTAGGAATATTTGGAATTGATAGTGATAGTATTAGGGGTGAAAAAAATTAGAAATTTTTTAAGAATTGTTATCAATTTATTAAATTTTATCTCAATTATAAATATTAAGTTTTTAAAGAGCGATTAAATTAAAATTGTTCTTAATTTTTGTTGCAGGTATTCGTTGGAGACAACATCTGGCCTCGCGCAGTCTGCGCAGGGTTTCGACCTTGCTGCTCGCGTGGGCGGCCATGGCCCTGCTACTTTTCACCCTGGTCAGCAACGACGTTAGTCTACAAGGGTTGGTGATGACGCCGAAGAGTGCGGCGGTTAACGGCCGCCTTCTGCTGCAGCAACCACCACCACCGGTGACCGCCGACACCTCGACCACCGAGAACCTGCTCGAGTTGGAGCCAATGGTGGACAGGTCTCCGGTCAAGAATGAAAACGCCATTGTCGAAGAGGTTAGTTGACAATTTAATTTATTTTGAGCTGCAAGTAAAGTCTAAAAAATATTTCTTTTTTTACATAAAAAAATGAACTAAAAAAAAAATTAGATAAAAATCAATTTAAATGCCAATTTTCATTTGCAAAGTTAGACCAACTAGGCTAGTTATATTCTGCAAAAATATGTATTAATATTTTAAATTTTCAAATAATATTATTTAATTATTTTATTATTCAAATACTTCTGTAAATTTGAAGGTACTTTTAGTCTTTCTTTCTTTTCATTTTTTTTAAATAAAAAAATTGTATTTGACCACAGGTGCAAAGAAGTTTGCCTAGCCTTCCGCTCGACTACTGGAGCAAAACGGCCAAGAACAAAGTTGGCCTCTCGAAAAATGGCACCTGCGCAAGGTACCCGAGTCCTTACGAACTCGAGTTCAACAACATCTACTGGCAGACCCTGCGGACGTCAAACGGCACCTTCCAGTTGTATGGAGCTTATTACGACAACAGACACTTCAGCCGCATCGGTCCTGCGGTCAGAATTCTAGGGATGCTCGACCGCATCGAACCCAAAGTCAAGACTTACTGCCAGTTTTGGTTCGACGACCAAAAGGAACCCGCCATCATTGAGGTTAGAAATGTTCAAAGACTTCAATCTTAAATCTGAATTGAAGAAAAAGTTTAAAACTTAATTTGAAGAAAACCAAAAGTTTATAATTTTATCAATTTTTATAAATTTATTTTGAATTTTTTTTTTTTTAAGAATCTCTCTTATCAACTTTTTTCTGGAAATTTGTGTCCAGGTGATGGAGTATAAGTACATTTGGTACAAGAAGTGGGGCAACTACAAGCAGGGCATCCTGCAGCCCTATCTGATCGCCTGCAAATTGCCCCCAACCCACAAAACTCGCGTTCCGGTGTCCGTCTCGCTGGTGGAGCGGCCGTGCGACAACGCCAACAACAACCTTAGGGTCCTTTATAACACGCCACCCGGAGGCCAGAAAAAAGGGTTCGCCGTCTGCGTGAAGGGGCTCGACTTTTTGCATGAAGACCTCTCAGTAAGGCTGGTCGAGTGGATCGAACTGCTGCACTTGCTGGGCGCTGACAAGATCTTCATGTACAAACTGCAGGTAAAAATAATTTTTATAAAATAATTTAGTTTATTCTGTAATTTCAAAAGTTATAGGTAATAATGCGATTTTTAATGAAGTTAAAATTATTTTTGCTCAAAATTTAATTTCCAAATAGGTTTTTCTGGAATTTTAAAAGTATTTAATATTTTACCTTTTATAATCTTGAAGAAAATTGATTGATTTTTTTAAATCCAAGGTACATCCAAACATCAGCAAAGTTCTCGATTACTACCAACAAGTCGGCAAGGTCGAGGTCACTCCACTGACCCTGCCAGGAACTCTGCCCAACATTCCTGGTTTCCAGCACATGTATCTGACAAAGAAGGTCAACCACAAGAGGCAAAACGAACTCATTCCTTACAACGATTGTCTCTACAAGAATCTCTACATGTACGAGTACATTGCGCTGCTCGACGTAGATGAGGTTAGTTTTATAAAGTTTATTACAAAGAGTAGTGAACAGAATGGAAAAGTGGAGTTTTGCAAAGCATAAAAAAGTTCATCAATTTAGGCATAAAAATCAAATTACAAAAAAAAATCGTTTAGTTGATTTATGACTATGTTCAAATCTGACTTTTGTAGATTTAAAAAAAAATCATGATTATAAAAATGAACTGGTAAAAAAAAAATCAAACTAAAATTATGCATAGAGTGTACTTTGATGGAATATTATTTTTAGATAACAAAAAAAATTATTAATAATTTAGTTTATAATTACTATTTTAAATTACACCATTTTTTAATATTAAACCAAATTATTTATGTATCTTTATTTTACTTGCTTTTATAAAAATTTGTTTGCAGAGGCTCAAAATTTGTTCATTTTAACAATTTAAAATAAGTTATAAAAATAAAAATTTTTAATTGAAAAACACTTTTTACAACAATTTTTTAACGTTTGGCTTTCTTAATATTTTTATTGCTAATTATTTTGTATTTCTTCTTCAACTCAGGTGATCATGCCGATCAAGTCGATGACCTGGCACCAGCTGATGAGGGAGGAGGTGATGCCAAAAGCGTTGGCGCTGCGCAACGAGACGCGCGCCTCGTACAACGTGCGCAACGTCTACTTCCTGGACGAGCTGAGCCACGCGCACGGCTGGTTCAACAACATCCCCCGTTACATGCACATGCTGCAGCACGTGTACCGCAGCAAGAACTTCACCAAGCCAGGGCAGTACGTCAAGTGTTTCCACAACCCTGAGCGGGTGCTGACGCTGCACAACCACTTCCCGCTGGCCTGTCTCGGCTCGGGCTGCACGTCCTACCCCATCAACACGACCGACGCCCAGCTGCAGCACTACCGCGCCGACTGCGTCAAAACGCTCAAGAAGTCGTGCATCGAGTTCCGGCAGAACTCGACCCTGGACACCACCATCTGGAAGTACACGGACAAACTGGTGACGGCCACCACGGACGCCCTGCGAAGGCTCGGCTTCTTCCGCTCGTCCTTCACCTCCTGATATCTGCACTACTTCCTTGTCTGAGGAAAGATTTGAGTCTCTCTAGACTGATCGTGGCTCAAAAGCCATGTTACTCGAATTGAACGAAAGGCCCGGCCAGGGTTTTTCACCTTTAGTCACAAATTCAATGAATCAACAAGTCTGGCCGAGCCACTTCAATTTTGACAGGGTGACCTCTCTTGGTGATTTTAATTAGAAAATAAATTACAAAGGAAATTGTGGAAACATTTGAGAAAAAAAATAGTGGAAATTTTTGGTTGCATTTTTGTAATTTGTGGAATTGGATTTCCAGAGCCAAAGTTGAAATTCAAAGTATATATAAAAAAAAAATATAATGAAGTAAAATATAATTTTGCCACATTTTTTTGTTTCCTTTGCAAATTTAAAGAAAGGCTGGAACTAAATCTTTGAATTGTGTTAAACCTCAATTTTGACCTAGCAAAATTTTTTTTTTAATATTTAGAGGAAAAATGGAAAATTAAATTTTTTGTCTCTGAATGAAATTACTAGAAATGCAACCAAAAATTGTATGGTCACTTTAAAAAATAAAATTAAAAGCAAAAAACACAATGATTTAAAAAAAGTGACATTGTATCAAAATTGCTGCTATTTTCAAATGTTTTTTCTCTAATTGGGATCTAGGCCTGTCTTTTTTTAGAATTCTTAGACTTGTTAGATTTTTAACAAAAAATATCTGTTAAATATGAAACAGAGAAATAAGATTAGTGACAGTAAAATGTCAACAACAATCTTTCGAGAATGATAAATCGCTGAAAGGTCCCTTGTCATAGAATTGTACAGAATTGGACAGAAAACGCCATAGCATCTTTCCATGTAATATAATTATACACAGAACTGTAAGATAAAATGTCTCTCTCTTCTGGTGCCGCGTCCGGAAATTTCCCCCGACTGTGCTCAATGTAATTAAAGGACCTCGAGAGTGTGAAAAGGGGACGCCTAATTTGCAGCCTGGCAATATTAATTACGGCAGCAACAAAACGCGCCGGTCTGCATCTGACTGCTTTTGATCTGCTACACGCCGGCGCCCCACATTTGGGCAGATGATAATTAATTTCCGCCTGGGAGTGATAGAGAGCCGAGGTATATATTTAGCGCGGTATTAGAATTGCATATTTGGCGCTCACCCCTGTGTTTATAATCTGGTACGTGTTGATGGATGGCGCTGAGTGAGAGTGATTGTTAGTTATTAAGTCAACTGTGATATAATTACTTATTAAAGGCTTTTCCGAAAGCCACTACGGAATCGTTTTCATGCATAAACTCTATCGTTAATTAGAGTTTGCGCACTCTGATGTTGACCCAACTGATGATATTAATTAAAGAAAACTTAATGTATAACTGGAAAATTTGTTTTTGAAGTTCACGTTTGATTCTAAAAATTAAAAATAATCGTTTTAAAAACATTAATTCAAAATTAAACAACAGGTTGATCCTGATATATTTTTAAAATTTTGGCACACTTCAGTCTTAAAATAATGGAGTTGTTGTAATCTAAAATTTGATCAATTAATTGAAAAAAACGGAATGAAATTAATTTTTTTTTTAATCAAACGTTAAACTTTAAAAAAAAAATCCCTTGGAGAACCTTCGGCTATGGAACTTTCTCGTTGTATATTTAAGAGGCAATTAAATGATCACGTTTCCCTGTCAGTGTGTTTTTAATAGGGAGATTTTCGGTCAGAAAGAACAATTGTGATAGAAATATCGGCGACTACGTAAATTTTTTTGTGTGCCATTGCAGAGTGTTGGTGATTTTGACACAAAATGAACGAATAAATCGAAACTCAGAATCGAGTATTTTCATAATGAATAAAAATAAATCAGACATTTGCCCGAGAGGCGAATTTCGAAATGCCAAGCTACTGTCAAGCAAGAAGTGTATAGTGTAATTTTATTTATGTGTTTCAAAGTATATCATATAAGCATTATCCTCAGATTGTACAGAAGACATTATGAAACACTAGTTCCAATAAAAATGAAACTGTTGAAAAGAGCTTCTCTTTTTCTTTTATTCCACATGCTGAAAAAAAATATTTAGCCCGTCATTGTCGCGCACTTTATTACCCCCCGGCTTAGGAAATCAAAAGCGAGCTATATACGCAGGGTTGAAAAGGGTGTTGGGAACCAGAGGACGTGTGTAAAATTGAGTCTGCCGCCCGTCGCGCGCTTCATATAGTGTATTTCATTTCAGCAGGGGCGAAAATTGCTTTGGGAATTCGTGATCCCCGTGTCATAAGCCGGAGCCAAAAAAGGAACAAGACCACTGCATAAAAAGTTGATCAATTTGATGCGCAATTTTTAGCAATAATGAAGTTCGACAAAATTTTATATTTGATTGAAAAACTTTTGTAAAGAAATTAAAAAAAAATCATTTATGTTACAATCGGAATCTAGATTCAATTATAAGTTAGAAAATTCCTAGGAAAATCATTTTCTAAGCTTAGAATTGCTTGCAATTCAATATTTCCTATTACATAGAAAGAAAGCATGTTTTTATAATGTTGAATTCATTCATATAGAACGGTACTTTTACAATATGAGACAAAAGCATCCTATTTTTCTCAGTCTATAAAAAATCATTTGCTTGAAAATTTGAGCAAATTGTCCTTGTAAAACAAAAATCAAAATTCTGCGCGAATAATAAAGCCCATTTTATCATTTTTAAATGATTAAATAGTAAAATAAACCCAAAATTTAAAAACATTTCAATATGTGTAATCTTGTGCATAAAAAATAAATGCTCAATCCATTTATAATAAAATATCAAACACTCTATTTTTATGTAAGAAATATTAAATAATTGGTTCAAGTCAAAGTCTCACACTAATATTTCAAATCAAAATGGTAAAATTTTCTGCAATTTGCAAAAATATTTTTTTTTTAATTTCATAAAAAAATCATTTTTAATTTGAATTTGTGTTTTTGTTTTTCTTTTTATTAAAAAAAATGATTTTAAAAATTCCAAGTAGGTTCAGTATAATTTTATTTGAAAGAATTCAAATTCAGAGCAGATCTGCTGAACATGGTCAAAAGCGAATTCGAGGGCCAAATCATCGGGCGTAATTGAGAGTTGAAGCGCCCACGCACCCCATTCTCTAATATATTTTTAATTCACTGACTGAATATTAAGCCGTCTGTGCACCCCGCGTCGAGGGAGGCAGCAGCCGATGACTGGCGCATAATTGTGTGGTACGAAAGCGTAGGAACGTCGACGTGCTCGACAGAGGCAAATTAAATAAAACGGAAAGGCATCAGCGAGAGTTGCTGAAACGAATTCGCTCTTCATTTGCACTCACGTACTGTTAAATTTGCAACGAGTGGCGGCGTCGCACGGAGCGGTAAATTAGACATCATTGGAACAGCGCTTCCCCGTGTACTGCAAGTCGCTTTGAAAATAAAATTAATTACAAAACTACGTGTCTTGCGGATTTCTGATATAAAAATTATTTAGGAATGTTTTTATCAATTTTAGCGTTACAATAATTGTGTAAAAATCATTTTCCAAAATATAAAAATCAAGAAAACACAAAAAGACAATAAAATGTTAAAAGTGTTTAGAACTTATAAAATTATTGTTTCTTCTTAATATTGTTTGGCAAGTAAAGGGTTCAAAATATTGTTTAATTTGAAAATTATTCAATTTTTTTATATGCAAGGCAGAAAATTAAATTAAATTTGCTGAGTATCACTAAAAATAGCGTATTTTTTAATTTCCCACTCAATAATATTTTCATCTAATTAAATCAATGACCCACCAAGTGGTATTCATCAAAAATCAATCTAAAATTTTCCTTCTCATAAATTTGCTGTCATAGGTTTTTTCATGCATCACCAATTAATTTAATAAAAAGCAGGTGATTTGGAAAAGTTACTTTTGAATTTTAATTATCATATACTTTACAAATTTTTCAACTCACTTTGTCGCTACGTACCTGCAAATCTATCTTGCTTTTGTAATCAATTATAATTATAGGCTAATTATATAATTATGTTGATGTGCAATTAAGTTTTGTTAGTGTGTATACCTTTTTCTTTCAATTAATGGAAAATCGGCAGAAATTGTGACCATTGCATGCACACAGTATAAACACTATGAGATCTATAATTTAAGAAAATTTCAATAAACAAACTTTGCAGCGAATACACCATCAAACGAAACAAAATAATCTGGGTAAATTAAGTTAAAAACGAAACAAATTTTCCTCCCTCAAAGTTGGCAACATTCTATTTACATTGGCACATTAATTATGAAGAAATATAATTTAAATAAAAAAAAATTGAAACAAAAACTTTTCTTTTCAGCCGAATGAGTTGTCAAGCGTGAACCTTGGACGCCCATAGTTCTAAACGTTAAAAAATCTGATTATGTGTGTCACCAATTCAAAAGCTGCAATTTGAAACACCAAAATTTCAGGTGAATTTTCACTCGGTGATGGGCGTCGGGTCGGCAACTCTGCCCATGAAAAGCACGATTCCGCTGCGATAGTCCCAGATGAAGAAGAGGAAAGGGTGGTCAACCTCAAAGTACTTGTCACCAAATGAGCCTATCCGTTCGAGACCGGTTGCCGTTGCGGCTGCTGCATCTGCGCCGCTCTCACGAATTTCCAGAATTGTCCTGAAAAAATTAAAAGTTACCATTTTGTAAAAAAAGTTCCAATAAATTAAAAAATAATTTTTTTGTTCAATTAATTTAATGAAACAGGAGACCGTTTTCAGAGATTTGGAGCACTTACAATTAGTTTATTTTTAATCCTAACAACTTTTTTATGTAGAAATGTAAATTGCAATGAAATTTAAATAAAATATATTAATTAAAATTTTATTAAATCAATTAAAAAATACCTCTTCTGAAAATCTGAAAATATTGAATGAACAAAATTTTGGAAGTGGTTTTACGGATTTGTTTTACCCTTCTGGGAACAACAACAATAAGTTTACAGATTTTTTTATTCAATTAATTTGATTTACTTGTGTGCAATGTCGCTGATGTGAACGCTGCGCTCGTCAGACATGCCGGAAAAGTCAGCTTTCGTCGCAGAGAAGATGTCTGTGACGCCCATTCGCACCAACGCCTCCACTAAGTTGGCGCTCTGGGACACCCGGAAACGAGGAAGCCGGATGTTCACCATCTCGTCCTGAAACAAAAACGGCACTTCACTCTCCGCCCCAATAGTTTCAAGATAATTCAGTCTCTTCCTAACGCCCAGCACTATATAATTTCACAAAACAAAAATATTATCAGAGTTCAGTTTAGTTTATTAATAATTATCATAAAATCGATATATTAGAGTTTTTAACAGTAAACAATTTTATTTAATTCAAACATTTCTAAATGACTAAGATAATTTAGCCAGCCTTGTTTATTTTAAATTGATATCAACATTATTTTTTAATTTGAAAAGTCTCCGTTTTGAGCGAAATGATGAATGGTGGCCCGGTGCGAGTACGGCACACACCACTTGGTGCAGTGACCCCTCAAGCCCCTCGTGTCCTTGTGTGGCCGTTTACACACTCCACGCATTGGGCGGACGTCTCTTTCTTTCTCTCTCTCTCTCTCTCTCTCTCTCTCTCTCTCTCTCTCTCTCTCTCTCTCTCGCTCTATCCCTCTCTCACATAATATACACGACGGTCTCTCAGATAGGCAGATAGACCTCCCACCGCGCCATAAAACAAAACGCGTGTAAATAATTAAGAAACCAGTATATGCCTCCTTTTCGCTTTTCGATTCCGGGTCGAAAATCTGCCACCTACGCACACACCCATCAACAACCGTTTCAGTTATTTTTTTCAGGCAACGCCACTTTTGTCTCTTTAAAATTTAAAACAATGAAAAAACAGCTCTTTGGTTCTTTCTGGTGTATTTTTTAGGCTCACCTTGAGGGTGGAGAAAAGCGCCTTGATGGTGTCGGAGGACATGTGTTCCTCGAGTCTGGCCAGACCTCGGTCCAGGTCGTCCGGAAGCAAAATGAACAAACTGATGCGACGCTCCTTGAAGGGGATTTCCAGGACTCGGCACTCCAGGTCTTGACTGTAGCCCAGCGGCAACTTGAACTTGCCGATCATCATGGGAATTTCAAATCTTTAAACAATTAAAATAGTAATTGTTAATTGTTTTATACACATTTTTAAGGAAATTAATATAACTTTTTTTTATAAATTCACGCTGCTATATTATTGTATATGTTCCTTATTATTTTTGTATCCATCTTCATTACAATAAAAAATAATGTCATGGTAGGATTACTTCACTCCGGAACAGGAAATGATTAAAGGCCGCAATTCTACCATTCATAAATCTTAATTGTGAATCAGGGAAAAACTTGAATGAAAAAAAACACGCGACATTAAGGTGTTAAACGAGCAAAAAATTTCAACGATCCTTGTCTAAATTAATTGGTTTTTCACCTAACGTATTTTAAATCATAGGCAATTAAACAGTTTAATTAATAAGAAAATTTGGAAACCGGAAATTTATAATTTATTGTAAAAGAATCTATTTAAGGTCGATTCTAGGATAAAAATAGAGTATTTTTCACAAAAATCAGAGCTGCTTTTAAATTTGCAACAGCAGAATATACAAGATCTCCTCAATATATTTGACTAATTCTTTCAGTTTTAAATAAAAAAAATTAAATGCCCCTAATTCTTAATTCTAAATTGTTTTTTTAATATTTAAAATTTAAATAGAAAAATCTTTAGTCACTTTTGAATAAAGAAAGAAACGTTGACGTCGGATCCTCAGAGAGAAGGCATTGAAATTTCGCACGTGTCGGCGATGACGCAAAAGTAATTGCGGCGTGCTGAGACAGACTTTTCACATTAAAATACTTTCGCATCCGAGGAGGAAATTAAACGCGGGGCATTAATATGTAGGGAGGAAACGTCTCTTCTTCTTCTTCATTCGTTCGCGGAATAAAAGCCGCGGAATTGAGAGTTAGAGCTGCAGCATTAAATATATCCTCCGTCAACGGTGGCGGGGTATTAGTAATTTGGCCCGAGGCGCGACACCCCGTGCATGCCTGATGGAGATTTCCTCCGGATATCCACGCATTCATCAATCACTCATTTCTCATTGATGAACAATGCCAATCTCGATTAGGATCCGCCGCATATTTTTATTACATTTGCACAGGAATGCATCGATCTCATCTCCCAAGACGCCTCTCCCTTCCTTTTCGGCAGAGATGCAATCGTATCACTTTTCAAAAATTGTCACCTCTCGTGACAGCATTTTCCTGATCAAAATTGTGTTCTGATCACATTTTTGCTCATAAAAAGCCAAACCAGAATCCTTAGAATAATTTGCAATTTTTTCACTCCAAGTTTTGCATGATCGGGAGAGTGAATTTTTTACTTCAAAAGTAACTGAAACACATAATTCGCTGTCAAAAATGTTGAATTTATTTCCAACAAACTAAATTAAATGCATTATATTTTGAGTAAATGAGGCCAGAAAATTGTGTTGACCTGACAGAGGATTGATTCAACCACCACTGATCGGCCTTGACAATGAAATTCTTCTCCATAATTTCAATTTTTAAATAATCCTCATTTATAATTGTAAACTTTGATATTTAAAAAATTAAAAGTTACTAACCTTCTTTGAGAGTTGATGTAGAAAAGCCCCTTGGCAAAAGTGTGCGCCTCGTCGAAGCTGAAAAGCCATCGCGCCCTCATTGCCAGCGCGTTGACCAGCACGAGCTGCGTGTCGGCGGCCAGCGTCTTGGTCAGCAGTTGCTGGATCCGCTGTCCGGTGTGCTGCGAAACCCAGTCGTTGATGTAGTTGCGCGAGCCCTCTTCGTCTCCGGCAAAGTCCAGCTGGTCCATTCGCGTTTTGTAGAATTCCTCAAGGGCGCGTTCATAGTACGAGGACACGCCGACGCCCGTTTGCCGGAACACGCCGTTCGCCAGCAGCACCGTGTCGTTGTAATAAGAGTCCTATATATTTAAAAATAAATTTATAATTGATTTTTCTTTTAAACCTCTTTAATTTAAAGTATAAAAAGCAATGTTATATTTTGATAAAAAAAAAGAGCAACAGTGGAAAACGAGGGAAAAAAGTATTAATTTTAATTAATAACAAATTCATCAAAAATTACAAATTTTGAAGTTCATATAAATTAATTTTATTTTACAAAACTTTTTCTTATTTTGTTAGAATGAATATGAGAAGAATTTCAAAACTACATCAAACAAAATTAAAGAAAACAATCCAACAAAACAACAAAAAATGCAAATAAAGTTCAAAATTTTTAAATTTTTCTCAAAAATTTTTATGGCACTTGATTTTGAAACTAACCTGGAAATTCTCGAGCACCAGTTTGAACGCGTTGTGGACCTCGGCATAGCTGAGGTTGGTGTAGTGCAAAGCCTCCCTGAGCTGCCTCGAGGTGTCCGAGCTGGCCCCGGCGCCGAGGAACAGCATGGACAGCACGTTGTAAATGGAGTAGGGCGAAAAGAGGACATTCTCGCGGCCGCCGGGCGCGTCGATCAAGTGGCGGTACAGGTCGAGGGAGAACTCGAAGTGCGCCCGCGAGAGCCGCTGGACGTTGGTGCCGTAGGCCAGGCCACTCTGGGGGCTGGCCACGTGCACCAGCAGGGCGGCCGTGCTCACCAGCCGACACCAGCCCATCCCTCTCACCTCGCTCTATAGCGTGCACCTGCAACCCAAGACGTATTCAATTTTTATAATTATTGTGATGAAAACAGAATATTTAATAATAAATGCAATTTGTTATCATCTCCAGGCTTGCGAATGTTTAATTGTTAATCAAATAATAAACGACTAATTTTTTCAGTTTAGAAAAAATTTCATTTTTTAGCTTTAGAAGTAGAATATTTGGTGACACAATAGCAATGTATTCTTTTTTTTATAAAATTGTTTTTACAAAATTTTCAATAATCACTTGGTTTTGAAGTATAATAATATATTTTTAAATGCATCATTCTTACGATTTTTGTGTTTTTATTATGATTTTAGATCCATCAGTAGATTGATAAAAAAAAATTCAATATCATTAGTGATGTCAGGTGATGAAGATTTTATTTTTCGTTGTTTTTTTTTTAAGTATTAATATTAATTATAATAAATCAATAACGTTTTTGCTCACAAGAATTGGGAAAAAAAGCTCAAATCTGAAATGTCCATGTTATACAATACCTTTTGATTTTGATCCTTTTTATTATTATTAATTTTATTCGATTTTAACGCCATTTAATTAATTTTTCATCTACTATAAACAATTGTTTTCTTTACTTTGTATTCTTCCGTACAGTTTTCAAATTTCCAAAAAAAAACTGTTTAAATTGATTCCCCAACTGAAGAATAAAAACTGCGAAAGCTGAGCATTGATACCTTTAAATCAATTAGTTTATTCTCTCAAGTCAATACATGCAGGAAACATGGAATTGCATTGGGAGAAAATTGGCAGCCAGAGCTGGTAAACAACGCAAACATTTCAAAAAATGGAAGCTGAATCTTTCATAAATAATTTTAAATTAAACAAATATAATTTATAATTGCTATATGGGCAGCAATTGCCTTTGTGATAGATCAATAAACACAATTTGCAACTATATTCATTAAAAATCTATGAAATTGCCATAAATCTTGTCAGGCAGGTTGCATTTGTGCACCTATACAATATTATGAGTTATTATGGCGAAAAAAATAAAATTTAGCATCTTCTCTTGCACATTTGACCAAATTATATTGCAGCCTTACTAATTTTTTTAAGTAATTACATAACCTCTTTGCATGTCGCTCTAAAAATAAATCCACCAAACGGGGCAGTAAAAATAAATTTCAAGAAAATCAGTATTGAAAAAATATCAGCAGCACAGCGATTAAGAAAGAATTAAAAAAGGCGCTGAAACGTATTTTCATGCAGCAGAGAAGAAAAGCGGTCGGCGCGGTGAGTGAATGATAAAACACGGGGCACCAAATACGCACGTCCTCTTACTTAGTCTGAGAATTTATATATAATATATTTATATTAAGCTTCCAGATGTGTCGCGAAGTAGAATTAAAGCCGAGCAGGTGCGAGAGAGTTACAGAGGCGTGGGTAATTGATTGCAGGGACCACACATCACCACCGCGCCCTGAAATGGTAATGGATTCGCGAAATGTGGAGCGCGATTCTGCTGAAAACGGGCTCCGTTTCGCAGAAAGCCGCCTATCTGATTTACTTACTGTAAATTCGGCGGCGCGCTGCTTTGCATAAATTAAGAATCAATTTATACAAAAGTGATGTTTTTTCTCGCTGATATACATTTAATGCGCCATTCGAACAGGTGCGCGAAGTTAAGATTTTTTTTTTCATTCTTTCTTTCTCGCCGCAACGTAATATTGATCTTTTCTCGGCGATGACGACTAGTTTTCGTTCGGCTTTTTTATCTGCACACTTTCATTCACTCGGCTGACTTTTATCTCGCGCCGAGCATCTTCTTATTATGAAGTATATGTGAACGAAAAGCCGTGTTTGCAGGCAAGAGAAGGCGAGGAAAAGTGCTCGAGGGGGCCACGGTTTACAACTTCAACACTTTTTTCAAGCTCAAGCATTATTTCTATTTCACAACGTATTTCTTTCACAATCTTAAAGTAGTATAATGATTTGAAGAGGAGAGAAGTTACTCAAAAATTTGCTTAAATTATTAAAATTAAAACTTTTTTTTTTAATTAATTTTGATGCACTGTACTTGAATACAAATTGTCTTGCATATATTTTTTTTTACAAAGTCCCCATATGAATTGTAGGTAATTAAAATGAATCAAAAAGACTTTTCCACTGGTAGAAATAAAAAGCCAGATTTTGAACCATAAAAATTATTGCCCATTTCCTTGATCAAATAAAAACAAAATTAAATTGGACATGAAATAGAAGAAACAATTCTATACAAATTGATATAAAAAGTATAATAAACTTTTCAAAACTCCGAGACTGGTTCTTTCTGCACATCAATTACACCGGGCAGACTTTTATGAGACCAATATTGGAGGCTGCAGGTGTTTTATATATTCATTTTCCGATATAAAAAGAAGGAGCAGCGCAGAAAAAGACAGAGGAGGCGGATGGCCGGCCGAACGCGGTCGATAGCCATCGCTTTTGTGTGCAACTACACCCTCTCGCTCTCTTCTTTCTTGTTGCTAGGTAATTAAATTAGCAGCGGCAGCCGACGAGGAGACCGGCAGTTTATAATCCTGCCTACGTAAATACACATGCAGATATAAAATTACAGGCGAAAATTGTCGGCGCGGTGTCCCTTTGTTTCTTGGTGGTCGATTTCGCATTTTATTTTATTTTCTACTTGAGATGGCAGCGAGAAAGAGCGATGGCGAGGTCGTCCGGTTTGCCTCTCTTTTTTTAAGGTTGGTCAGTTTTATGAATGAAACCCCCTAACGCACGTCGCGGGACCCGGGGACTAACTTTTGCATTAAAAGTGTGTGGACTTAAACACCTTAAGTTTGAATTCAATTGCATTAGTATAAAAGTGCACGCAGTTCAGAATGTTAAATATAACATTGCATTGAGGAAATTTTAAATATTTTCAGCTTAAATTTGACTTTGTTGTAAGAAAACTATAAAAAAAAAATGCATTTAATTTTATTAAATTGGTAATGTGTTGAAACGTAAAATTTTTCAGGTTTTATTCGGAAGATTGATTATTGATTAATATAATTAAGAAGATATTGTTGCGGCTATTATTTTTATTGCAAAACAAAATTGGTTTAAGATTTAAATTTTACAGTAAGTAAAAAAATGTTCGCTGAAATTTTGAAGCTATAATATATGATTATATGAAGATGGGTTAAAAAAATTCATTGAAAAAAGCTTGATTTTTTGTTCTAGATGTTCTTTAAATTAATTTTATATTATAAGGAAAAACAATCGTCATTTTAGTACAAATCAAGCATAAATTTTCCATACTGATTAAATGTTTTTTTCAACAAAGATTGCAGATAACCCTAACAAGAAAATAAGACTGTAAAGCTCTACCTATTTTTTTTTACTTTTTGCATTGAAACTCTACAACTCCTCAATGAGTTTCAATTTTCAAACTGCGATCTTTTCAACAAAGTAGTTTCTTGCAATTTTAATGTAAATTTTACTCAATATTTTAAAATGTTTATTTCAAAATTCTTAATATTCTTTTATCGCACATTCAACACAAGAATGATGTAATATGCAAAGATTGCAATTAATTTTTAAACATTCCATCAAAAATTTGAATGGATTTTAAACATTATGATTTATTTGTTAAAATTATGTTTTCATCTCTTTTATTTCAATTTTCATGAAAAGAGATAATTTCTAATTACAAATATATGATTAAATTAAAATTCGAAATATAAATTCTATTTTAAATTTAAAAAAAATGAATTTTTAATTAGTTATTGAGATGAAAGTTGAAAAATTAAGGTATAAAAGAGCATCTCTCGGCGCAGCATGTAAAGAGAGGAACACACAGGTTGTTGCTTTTTCTCTCTTCAGAGAGGGAGGTGCGCGCTGTCTACCTGCTGAACCTGATGCTCTTTTTATTGTTGTCTAGTTAAACGGCCTGGGATAACCTTTTAAATTGCATAGGCGGTAATATGGGGCGTCAAAAAGGTAAACACACAATAAAAGCGCAGTTTACTTTTTTACATCATCAAAAGGAAGAGCGTAAAAAGCAGCGAGTGCGAGAGCAAGAGAGAGAAAAAGGCGCAGGCCGACTGCTCTTGGCGCGGAGCGAACACGGAATATTATCAAGAAAGAATAATAAAGAAAGAAAGAGAAGCAGCGAGCAATAGCGAGCGGCGGCACCCACACGTTGTTTTTGTTCTTTCTTTTGGACGAGAGCGCTTGGCACAAAAAAAAAAATATACACAAAATACAAAGAAAAGCGGCGGCCAATAAAACACCTATGAGAAAATCAGCAACATTAAGAGATGGAACAAAAAACTGCAGCGGCCTCTCTTTCTCCATATACGTCCATGAGACAGAAACTTAAAACTATTTTTATAAATTTTTGAATATTTAATTAATTTGAACAGTAAAACTGAACTTCTATAGTGTCGTGAAAGAGTAATTTTACTGCACTCAATCTCATTTAATATGGCTTTATAAAAATTTATTAATGAAAAATAGCATACATATAAAATTATTTTATATTTATATTAATGCATCACAATTGCAATAAATTTTTAGTCATTATATTTTTTTATACATTCTACTTTTTGTTAAGAAACTTGACTTTAGTAGAATAAACAACAATAGAACTAAACAAATTGAGAAATGAATTTTTTATATTATATTTATAATAAAATTGCAGGTTGAAAACTTACGTAAAATAAGTTCCGCAAATTTAACCTGTATTTATAGTTAAATTCATATTTTTTTTGAATAAATCAAGCAGATTTCCATTTAACTGTTCAGATTAAGTGTTGCTTTTACTAATTAGATGCTGAATAAACATTTCAAGTAAGAAACTTATCAAATAAAATTAAATTCTTCAATTCTGAACATTTTTGTCGATTTTTGTAATAATTCGCAATTGTTTTTCGCAAGCAAACACAATACAAGAGCTGAAATTTAAAATTTAATTTATTGTAAAATATTAATGATTTCAATCAGCAGTCGACTTACTGCCCTGTAGCTCGCTATTATTAACGCGTTAAGTAAATGAAAATTAAATGAACAATACGTAATTATTGCTCTTACCAACCTGCGATTGGGAAGGTCGTGGAGATGGAAAGAGTCGCGGGCAGGGACGAATCGGCTGCTCCCACGCTGAGCGAGGCTGCACTTGGACTGGCCCCGTGTGCGCCTCGAGTGTGCGACTATGGCTCCTCTCTCTCCCTCTCTTTTGCTCTCTTCCTACCCTGCCCCGCACTGAAGGAGCCGCGACCTGTTCGCAGGTGCCACCCTCGCGCTGACCTTCCGTCGAATTGGAGCACCGACCCACAACTGCGTGCTCACCAGCCTCCTTTTCGAAGCCGCGGAGATTTCAACGCCTGCAGCTCAAATGGCAATTTTATACTTTTTTATATAAAAACGTCAAAGTTAATTTGCACATAATTTATTTAATTTACATTCATTATAGACATTTCATTTTTATCAAAATTGAAACAAAGTTATTTACAGAAAGAAGTTATGTAAATTCTGTTTTGATGCAAAATTGAAATTATCTTTAATTCTAAGAAAATTTTTCTTTCCTCTTATTTTTATAGGCTTGATTTTACTTTATTTCCTCTATCTCAGGAGCTTCATTGAATTTACAGATCATTTGAACTTGGTGGGCAATTCAGTTCTCAATATTCCGACGCAAGGTCAAAGTGTTTGGACGCACGAGGGCGGGAAAATCGCCCTCTATTCCCACGGTCGTTTAAGGTCATGATTCTCTTTCTTTCTCTCTCAGATTTATTATTGTCGACGCCGATGAACCGCTGCTTTTTCGTTCTCTTTCTTTTACTCTCCGAGAGGCACGAAATGAGTTCAGCTTGCTCTATCTCGGCTGCAGAGAGGAAAATACTAAAGTTTAAAAAGCACAGCGGCGCGTGCCTTATGGGCATCCTAATGCGCTATATAGATGATGCGCCTTATCGGTTATCACACATCTTATGGAAATCGTTTTTCTCTCCTCTCAGCTGGCCCCATTCACACACGCTTTGGTGCGCCTTTTTTTGACATATCAACCAGTTTTTCGTATATTACGCTCCCACTGGAACGCAGAATTAAATTTAAGATATTCTCACTCTTTCTCTTCTCTACATGCTGAATGAACCAAAATTTAAATTTTGAAGGTTTTGAAGCCATAATTTAAAACGAAAGATTGGTGCAAAAAGAACACATTAAAATTATTGGTCAGTCGTCAATCAAGGCTCATTTGGGAACACTTCTGAAGAAGATTGCTTAGTTTTAACTGATTTTATAGCTTTTAGCGAAATTCTTGCTAAAGTCGCGGAGCTGTTTTATTAAACAATTAAATTGTTCACTCCCACGTCAATTGTTTTGTATCTATAGCAATTGAGAAGAAAAAAACAACAATAATGCACGCAACTATAAAAAAACCATTGCGGAAAAGAACTCCTTTTTGGCATAATGAAATCAAATCCTTGCAACAATAGAAGTCGATCTTTCGACTTTTGGAACATGGGAGATTTTGTTCCAAAGACTTCATTGAACTATGCAAATTAATCAATCGTCAAAATCCTTACACATATTCAAACTTAAATATATAGTTTTAAAATAAATCTGCTTGAAAGTTTTGGCAAGCAAACATATAAAAGAAACAAACTTCATTATATTTGTAAACAACTTGACACACAATTAAAGCCCTGAATTATTTATTCTGGCCATTTCAGGGTCAATGTCAACTATTTTTGTTTAAACTCCTTAAACACCTCTTATGGTCAGTTTTGTGAAACAGTAGAGTGAATATTTTTTACTTTTTCTTACTATGAAAAAGCAATATTTGCTAAAAAAATATTATAATTAATCATAAAATGGTAAAAAATTTATATACACAATAATCCTTGTCCAGTCAGGGTCTTCTCGGAAGACAAAAAGCACGCACTTTTCAAATCCAACGCACGCCCTGTGCTATTGGATCACAAATCGTCATTTATATAAATATATATTATTGTTTCTCGAGCGGCGGCGGCATCACGCACACGTCGTATAATATGAGATGCGCGTGTGTGTCGAGTCGACTAACCTTCTGCCACGTGAAATTGTTCTTATATGAGCAGCACGACGACATTGTCTCCTTTGTGCAGGGGCAGCGCACAGCAGCAAGTCGACCGTCGTGTGATCCAGCCATCAAAGAGTCTATTACGCGACGCGAATGCAAATCAAGGCGCAAATAATTGTGCAGCTGCTGACGTGTGCATGCGACGACACCAGTGCCAGCAGAGGATGTGAAGACAGCAGCAGCGTCCGCTGTGACTGCAACCTTGCCCTCAACTGAAAACTCGACAGAGGCTTAAATTTTTCTTTCTAGCAAATAAGTGCAAAATTATAAGTTGCAGATAGTAAAACACCCTTATTGTATTAATGAAAACTGTCTCAAATCTTAAACCCGGGAAAATAGCCAAAATAGTAATTGAAGCTCCCAAAATATAAGTTTCAAGTGAATTTAACTTTTAATTGACGAACACAAAATTTATTAATCCCAGTTTTGAGCCATTTCATAATGAGGCTCGTAATTATTCTTGTTTCAAAATGACATAGAATCTGCAAAAGTTATTTTATAAATTCTCAACAATTCTTGATAATTCAGAAGTTTTTCATTCAGATTCGCCACTAATGCGATCTCTATGATCCATATTTACAATTTCAAAATGCAGACTTTAGATTTTGATTTTAATTCAATTATTGGTTAGATTTGTTGCGTAAAAAAGTTAGTTCAGTTAATATGTTCCTACAAAGGTTTTAGATTTTCCCACACTTTCCGTATACATTCAGTGCTCGTATTAATATTTGTTGTATAAGTTTGCAGCACGTGCCGGTCTTTTAAACTTGGACCAAAATAGACGAGACGTTTTGGACGACGTGCTCGGGTAATCGCGCACAAGGGCATAAAAATGCAAATGCGGAGCCATAAAATCAAAAAAGCAAGTTCAGTAACTCAAATCTCATGAGCGCCAGGAAGACGATTTTGATTTGTGGTACGACACTCATATTAGCAGAGGGTTCGTCTCTCGGCGCGATCTCTGGTCCCTTAACTGGTGCCGAGTGTTGTTGCTGCTTTATTATCGCGAGGCGGCCGCGGGCGCTTTATTTTTCTCGCCACTTTTTATAATAGTTTCTTTTTTATTTCTTTAATATCAGCAAAGACTGCTTAATGGTTAGCAAAAAGGATTAATGTCCGATGAAGGCCGTCGAGTCTGTGCACGATCAGTATTGTAGATAAATCGGGGGAGAGCCTTATTAAAGCAGCCGTGGCGAAGACGCGAGAGAAGAAGAGCCCCCCGATGTATGTAATGTAATTGTGAGTACATGCGCGTTGTGCCTCCACATGTACGTTTGCATTCAGCTTTTAAAACACGTTTATTGAGAGCTTTTATTCACCGCGCGCGAGAGAGTTGGTGTGTATGATGCAATTAATTATGCATTGGAAGACAAGGGCACCGGACGCTCTGCTGACGTGAAAAGTCTGCAACTCTCAGAGGTGTGAAAGTTTTTTTTCATTTTGAGTGAACGGAGAGTTTTATTAAAACTTGCAAAGTTTTGACATGATTTGGATTTTATTCAAAATCTTCTTAAAGACAGAGAAGTTAAAAATTGAGTTTTTAAAAATTACCTTTTATGGCTTTAATTGAAAATTACTCGATTTTTTTGTTCAACCAAGATAATTCAATTCTAGTAATTTTTTAACGCTCATAAATAATTAAATTTAATAATTTTTTTCTTAATTTTTTTTCTCGATATTCTTTTTGCAAATTGATGAGATTAAAATTGAAAAACTTCTACGCATAAATAAATTAATTTAAAATATTAGTTGCAAAAATGAAGTTTATTGGTGTATTTAATTGGAAATTAAATTTTACCAGATTAGACTTCTCTGACTTAGGTGTTCTTTCAGTTGTTGCTTTAAAATTGTTCAGTATGAAAATTAACACACACAAATAATCTACCTTAAACCCAAAAGAATTGCTAATTTCTTTTTAAGACTCATTAAGATTGTAAAATAGGTTTATCAAAATTAATACCCAGGTCGTGATTGCTGTATCCGAAAATAAAATAGCATGATACTATTTTTCTCTTGTGAAGCAATTGACAATTATGGAATGTAGCCTGCAGTTACTTTAAACATAATTAAAAGAAAAACTAAAATTTCCAAATCTGAATAGAGGAGAAATATCTAGATCAATCTAGATAAAAAAAACTCTGTAAAATAAAATAGATGTAGGCTTAAGTACACAGAGATACATTAATGAATAAAGATTTCTTGATAATTTTTACAATTCAAGAAATTTTTATTTTACTTCTATTTAAAAAAAATAATAAATAAATAAAAAGTTGAGCATAGTAATATAATTTCTTTTGCGCCTTCATCAGAAATAGCATGAATTAAATTATTCAAAAAATACAAAGCAAACACAGAAAACTGTTCATCCTGTTTATACCCTTAAAATTAATCGGTCACGTGTTAAGTGAGAATCCCATTGTTTTGACGGCGCTTGGGTGCATTGACTTCACCTCAGGGGCATGTAGTGAAAAACCGAAACAAACAATATTAGATAATCCCGAAAAGGCAATAAACAGACCTCAAAATTCGCAGTCTTTCCTGACCTTTGCGGTGCGTCCTATAATGACAAAAACGTGTGGTTACAGAATCGACAAAATCTATCCCTAGCATCACCTCTTCTTATTTTTACCGGCGGCAAATCTTCATCACGCCACGGAAATAAAAGTTTACATATAAAACAAATCATCCAAAGATGATGGAAGAAAAAATTAGATGGAAAATCTAGGAGCGATCTCTGATTCGCACACACTCTCTTCTGAGAAAAAGCCCAAGTTGGGGGCAATAAAGGAGTCTCTGTTGTGCTGCGATTGCGGGACAAAGGTATATAATATTAAGGTGGTTTTGAGCCGGTGCTGTGTGCTTTGAGGTGGTCACGGGGCCGCCAGCCAACCTCTCTAATTTTGTGAATGGAGCGGCGGCGGCGGCGGCCACTTGATCCATCCATGAATAAAAGCTTTGATCTTTATCGGCGCGGTTTGTTCTGCTGGTTGGTTGCTTCGAGATGCTCTCACCGCCCTGTTACTGCCGAGATCCAGGGGCAAATCGCCGGAAAATCTCTCTCTCATAAGTTGGAAGATGAGAGAGCGAGTCAAGGCCACCGACCGTTCTTTTTTAGGAAAAAACCTCCCCCTGAGCGCCGCGTACTCTCAGTTTTTTCATACGTTATAGCACAGGTTGTTCCCAACTCTCATCGTGTGAAAAGTTGCTGATGTTATAATTTACAGGTGCCCGAAGGTGGGCATTTAAAAGATATATTGGTCTCGTTTTGGCTGAAGTCGTTTGTGCGCTTGAAAGAAAAATATATAATGACGTTAAGCTCGCGGTAATAAAGACGTTCACAATTTTGGCAACTCTTTAGAGTGGCGACGAGCATTTCACGGTGCGGACATTTAATCTCATCTGTAGCGATCAAAATCAAGTTTTTTTCTTGGTCTAAATGCTGCTGAAAATCAAAGTCTTCCATTTATGAATATGTATGCGTGTGTTCTACATATATAAATTTCAGTAACACACTGAAATGATTAAAATGGATTTTTGTTCAAAATTGATTTTAAGTATGTATAAAAAAAAAATATCATATTGTAAAAATGATGTAAAAGTGTAGTGATTGACAGATAATAAATTTGTTTAAGGGCTTAAAAAAGCGGCAATTGTTTCATTTGTTATCAAAAAATATTGTGATTCGAAAATAAAAAGAGTTTGATCAAATTTATTGCAAGGATTTAAGTAATGCATGCATAATTATGATGTTTGTGTTTGTTCATTTCAAGGAAATAAAACGTCGTGTTACAAAAACAAGTTATGAAAGCGTCTCGTGTTCAAAAGGTGCCAATTTGCAATTGTAGCTTTCGGCAGAAAATTTCTTATTTATTTTTCTCCCTGCCCCGCTGTGGTTTATGCATTTTTTAGTATAATGAAATCGTCTCTTGGCCACTTGAATACATAATTATATAGCATTACGGTAGGCTGTACCAGCAGTTTCCTTTCCTGATTAAACGAACTCTTATTTCTCTGAATAACCACAATCTTAAATACTTGCAGCCTCAATTGCTCATTATTAGCTGCACGCACCAATGACAAATTTAGCAAAATTTATTTCCTTTTAAGCATCACACGCTATAAGATGTCAAGAATCGAGATGAATGATTCAGGCACGCAATATTATAAAAACAAATCTGGTCATTTCGAATTCTGAGAAGCTTGTAAAAATTTGTTTTGGCACAATATTTAATCGCCATTCTGCTCATCTAAAAATTACACATGTATAATAAATATATAATGCATAATATATTTTTAGTTGAATGACGAACATGGTTAACATGATAGTTTAGGGGGAAAATATTCTTGGAGAGTGGTCTGATTGTAATTAATGAGCGAGAGATGAAGCTCTTTCAAAGCCGCCGGGAAATCCCACCAAAAAGCGTGCACCTGCTTCGGAAAGGCCACGTGTGATGAGAGAGCAAAATCGTATCATCTCTTTAAATTTTCATGATTCACAGATTCACAGTGGCACGAGGCATTAAATTATTAGTTTACCGACATCAGTTGTCCATACTCCATAGAATGGTTAATTTAATTGGCTCCAAATTGACCGACTATTTCCCTCTTTTTGTTTTAATAACTATCAAATTTGCAAAATCTTCTTCTCTGCACTTTATTTTAACTATTTTTTTTTTTTAAATCAGTTATTCTTCTTTACATTATTTAAGGTACATGTTTCTAAATTAATTAATTTTTTGAAACAATTTTATTTTTTTAAGTATTTATTTATTATTATCATATTGTTATTAAATTAATATAACAATTGATTATTGTCAAAAAAGCTTTAATATTCATTGGGACGAAATAATGCTTCAATGAGTAATTTTTTAATGATTTTTATAAATTTCAAGTTGGAGTTTGACCTAATTTATCATAATATTTATGCTTATAAAATCGTGTAATCACTATTTTATCAACTGCCATGATACAAAAAAGAACTGTTGTATAATTATGTTTGTTCAGCGCACGTGTCCATTTGTGTTGTGTGCGGGTTTGGTGTGGGTTATTCGATTCACCTTTCATCGGTCAGCACCACAAGTCATTTTTCTTGTCGGCGCCAGGAGAAAGATGCATCCTGTTTACCTTCCAAGAAAAAACGAGTGAAACGATGCTGAAAAATATATATGCGATCATCTCATCTTTATGTCACTGCCGATTTTGGTTGTATCATCTCTGGCCAACACGCCGCCTTTCATTTCATTATTTATTACAATTCGTTTTTTGCACCGTTTATTATTCTCCACTTAACGCATCGCAACATTGTGTGTGCATCCGCTAATTTGCGAACTGCATCAAAGCAGGTACCACCGACGAAGACGTCAATCTGGCAAAAAATGGAAGAACAGAGAGAAAATTGTTTTTCTAGCAGGGCAGGTTGCTTATATAACCTACCAGTAAAAATTAATTTTGAAATTGTTGAAAACTTATAATTATTCAATCGACTTCTTCTATTCTCGATCAAATATATTTTCTAAATTCAAATTTTGAGAGAAGAAAAAGATAATTACAGAAAACAAATCAAATATGGAGCATGGAATTGTGAAAGAATTTTTTTTTTATTAAAAGCTAAAAATTACAAAAAATTTTGATTGGTTTTTTAAATTTTTTATCGTGAATTTCTGATTTACCTGTATGATGAATTTATTTTATGTGTATTTCTTTGAACATTTTTCACATCCGCATTGCGGTAATAAAATTTCCTATTCCGTGTTAGAGCCGGAGCAAACCTGATAGGCAGAAACAACAGAGCAAGAAGTGTGTCCACGTATCACATAATTTATAATGCACATGTGAATAAAATTAGTCAAATGATGTTGTCCCGTGTTGAAAATCGAATATAAAATTGCTCGTAAAATTCGGCATTATAGAGTTGTCAGCGAGTTATTGCCACGTTAAAAACGGAATAAAGTGAATTTTATTCAACCGTAGCAAGACACTTTGTCCATTCTTTAGGATATTCCAACATTGTTGCATCCTTTTCATTTACATAACGTCTAGAGAGCTGTGTATAGCCGGGTTCACACTGGGGCCACACGCATTTCTTTTAGTGTCTCCATCAGCGACGTGGCGAATCCCGGTTGATAAAAATTGCTTAAAAATATAACCACTTATTTTTAATCTGCACTTTATTGCCTCCATTATAAAAATTATTGCCATAACATGCATAAATGCTGGTCATCGAGCTTTTTATGAAGTACCACTGCATTCCATGTTCAGTTTTTTCAAGAGCAACAAAGTGCTTGATTAATGATTTAATTCATTTCGTTACCTATATATTCGAGCTATGTACAGAAGAATAAATTATTCACATATAAATGAGCCAAGAGAAACTTCAAGTAATAATATAACGCTGAATTTTTTAGTTGAATATAAAAATCCCCTAAAGAATATAAATTATTTCTAGACAAAATTTTTAATTGCAACACGCAGTTATATTCTTAAATTATGCCAAAAAATTTCTGATTCGGAATTATGTGATATAATAATTTAAAAATTATTTAACTATGGTCATGAAATAATGACGTTTAAATATTTCTTTGTTCATTTTTAGTAGTAAAAAGTGATTAAACACTCGTCTGAAAATTTTCATAAAAAAAAATTGAAGAAAAAAAATCATGGGTGCTTTCATCTCATATTTTGTTCACATTTCTTTACAGTTTTGAGCAAGAATCACTCAAAAAACTCATTTTCAATGATCGAATTCTTGAGATAAATCAAAATTAAAGAGATTTAATGTAATCCGAAACTATTTTTTTTTTTTAATGTAGAAAAAATATAATTGATCGTCTTAAAAATCCTTTCAGCCAATTTTTAGGTGACATATATATAATATTATAACTCAGAAAAAGTGATTAAAAAATATTATTGCTGTTCATATTACTACGTTTAATTAATTAATCATGCTTGGAGCTTAAATCACTATGCAATTTTACATAAAGTTTATATGTCGAATGTTGAATGTCTGGTTGCAAGAATATGCTCAAGCGCCTACTGTGTATGCAACCTGCCGAGCTCGGCTCTTTTCCACACTTGTTACTGCAGCGCTCCAAGCGGCAAAAAATTGAAACAACAACAGGAACAAACAAAATAAACAAAATTTGCTGAGACAAAACACCGGTCTCGCTCGGGGTTTTTTCAAATTTTCTGCTGAAAATGAGCTCAATTTTCCATTTTATATTCGACGAGGACGTGACGGGATACAAGATGATTATCGTGAGTGGTTTGGAAAGGAAAATCAGCGCTTAATTACATAATTTTGAAATGTCAATTTTTTTTTAATTTTGCCATGACTTGTCAATTTTAGCCCTTCGGAGATGAAACTAATTGGATTTGTCTTTTCAGCCGTCTGTCTCGATTGGCAACGTGGGCCAGTTGGCCGTCGACATCCTGATCGCCACCGTGCGGCCACAGAAATGGGCCGTGGCGTGGCACCCAGCCCTTGTGCCGATCGTCGGAGGAGACCCATACGACTATTCCACCAACGAAATCGCCACCGCCTGCGAACGTGAGTGTTCAAAATGAATTGTTTTGATACTGATTTGTAAACTTATGAGTTTAAGTCCCGTTAAACCATCAGGATTAACTGGATTTAAGTAAACAAATGGGGGAAATCTGAGAAAATGAATTATTTTTAGGATTAATATATAATTTAAGGTTATGATAATTAATATTGTAAACTTATCAATGTTCTATCTAATTGTAAAATTGATAAAGTGTCGCTTAAAAAAACATACAAATAATAATAATAATATGCGGTGTTCAATTTAAGTGTACGTCTCCAAAGAGAACAAGTTGGTTTTTCTTCAGCTCAGATCACCTCTGGCTAAGGTATGTGTCCTAATTAATTTTGTCTCAAGATTTACATTATACAATTATTATAAATAAAGGAGCACGGGAAAGACTTTCTGGAAAAGTTGGCCGACTGGACCAAGGAGAGAAAGTTCAGTGAAGTCCTGATAGCAGCATCTCTGGCAGCTCACGAAAGATTTGGACCTCAGCTTACAGGCCAACCTTTCAGATACCTGACCACTAGTACTCAGGTTGATCCTGCAATGTTAGTTTTTATAATTAAGAGATGTTTTCAAATTGGCTGACACTTTTGTCTTCAGTTCCAAGTGGGGACCTGCTTTGGAAAAAAAGCAGTTCGATTTGATCGGAGGTGCAAGTGAGGACTATGTCATGATTGGTTCTGGTTTTGCCAAGTTGCTCTTTAAATATTGGTTGGTGTTTTCTAAAATTTAATTTTTTTGGGAGGAATTAATAAATTTGATTACTTTTCAGCTCTTCGAGAGGAATTCAAACTTCCGTTCTGATGAAATTCTGTGACGAAGGCTTTAATGACACGGATGCTAATCAACTTGCCAGTTTCATGAATTCTTGGGCCAAAGTGGTAATTTTATTTTATTTTAATTTTACTTTCCAGTTATTTACTGAATCATCATTCTTAAGGTTCCTCCAGAATCAAAATGGAGACTCCCACCATCCTGGAGCCACCTTGTTGGAAATGGTCCTCCATTGGGAATGTTTTAAAGAACCAAAAGTCTTGGATTTAAAATGTATTGTGCGGAACTTCTACTTTCGATAAAATAAATTGATTTCTTGTACGAAACACAATGAGTGTAAAATTTCAGTCCAGAACAGCCAGTCTCAAAATGATTTTTAGTGAATCAGTTATTTTTCAATACTGGTTTCTGCAAAAATATGGAAAATCAAACACAAAAACAATAGCATAAACTTTGAAACTAATTCTCTATTTAAGTGGTGTTTGAAATCTACCACAGAAACAACTTTAAGAAGAAAACATGCAAATAATTGTAAGTTTTTGTTGAAAAATATTGAAACCTGAAAAGGTAAATGATCCTTTAGCACCAAAACGAGGATTGTTAATTGACGAGCAGCTTTCATAGTTTTTTTCTCACAATATTTGAACATACTGATTTATTTAATTTTTGTTAATCCTCTAAACTACTATAGAATCATAAATTTCAGTTTCCACTGCAACGGCAGTAATTAAAAAGTACTCACTTTCAAATTAAGCGTTTGCAAGAAAATTGGGTTTAATTGCACTCATTTTTAATTCTGAGAAAAGCAGTAACTCTCCCACATAGAGTGAATTTGCATCTTTGCGCTCATTGTAGAGTCCATTGCTCTTTGGTGCACACAGTTGGCAAAGTTCACGCGCTTTCTCTCCGCAGTAATCACCGCGCGCCGTCTGTGTTTGCAATGAAGAGAGCGAGCGAGTCGAGGATCATCTCAAAGCAAAATGATCCATGAGCAGCCAAAACGAGTGAAAGGTCACGCTCGGTGTTCTATAGAAAAAAAATAATCAGAGGGGAAAATGAGCTGAAATCTCGGAGCTGCAGAAAGAAGGGTCGTGACCTCCCATTCAACTCCCACACGCGACTTACTTCAAGTTGATCAACTTGAGTTTGCTTTTGTCTTCGCTCGATTAAAAAAAAATTATATTTAAAAGAAAATAAAGCATCTTTAATTATTATAAATAACAGTTTTTATGCCTGTCAGACAAATGTAAATTTAGTGGACGTGAATGAGGACAAAGCAGAGAAATTGGTTATGAGTGTGCATAACAATTTAATTTTACTTTTATCAAACTTTCAAGTGCATAATTAATAATAATTTTATGCTCTTTTATCACGCTCTAAATCTAGAGTTCTATGGAATTTTATTGCGAAATTCCCAACTCTTTAAAATTCAATTTTGAATTTACACTTATGAGTTCTTTTCTCTCATTTAAAATTCCAAATCATCTTTTAATTTACAATCATTCTTTCCACGTAGTCTGTTCTGATCGACAAAAATTTAGTTTTAGAGCAATGAGGAAGAAAGCGGGTCAGAGCCAGATCAACTGGTTGTGAATGTTCACTTGTTTGCTTCTAAGTGATGCTCACATTCGGTGCCCGAAGCAAACGTATGTATTTAGTAATTTAAGTATTTTTGTGTACTCAAAAGTTTCTCATCATGAAGATAAACCACACAGTCGTGCTCAAAGCTCATTTTCTTCTCGAAGGTTATTTGCCTATTTGGGCTAAAAGCTATAAAAATGCAAAATCTGAAAATATTGTTGTCAAAAATCATTATTTGAATAAAAAAATTGTTAAATTTAATAATTTATTGGTTTAAATTATTTTACTGTCATTATTATTTTGTAATTAAATTTTTTAAATAAAATATAAAGATTTAAAATAATATTATGTGCAATTAATAATTAAAAATTGAGCAGGTATTTTATTTAAATAATATATTGTGTCTAATCATATTTATTGAATGGTATTGAATATTTTTAATGGTAATGATAACAAAATATAGCATGAGTAATTTTTTCACAAATTTTCAAGTGAAATTTATCTTTTGAGTCTTTTGATACAGTTCAATGACCCGAATGACCATTTCATAGTGTTTAATCAAGTTCGATTGATTTTTCACGCCAAATTTGTCAACTGGAGTGCATCGATCTGATCAATCGTGCGTCATTTGGACCAGTCGCGATCATTCTGCACCCGTTTAAAAAGTGTGCCGTGCCGAGAGTTGATGACGCCTACTAAGTAAAAATAATACGGAGCAGCTCTCTGTTGTCGTCGACGTGAAAATGAGTTTCCTCCTCCGAGTGCGCCGCGACTACTGCGCGAATTGCGGGCGTCAAAATCCCCGGCACGACGAGCAAAATTGAATGCACTCGCCGCCTTTCTCTCCGACGGTGAAAAAGCCCAGGGTTTCCGACTGCCACTCCAGTCTGCCGTAGAGTGCAGATCATACAACTTCACATTTCAAAGTCGCACCATGGAGAAGGCGGACTCTATGGCCACCGTCAACATCAAGGAGTTCCCCGACAATGTCTCCTACACCACAGAAGCGCCTCCCGTGAGTTCATTTTTCTTTGTTTTAAAAATTTAAATTCAAGTAATTCAAATTTGTCTCCTGAATAAACGTACACCTCAAATAATGGAACTAAATTTGAATTAAAAATGATTCTTTTTTTATGTTCCCTAACAAAATTTGGCTAAAATTAGGATGATTTGATTTCGCAATATTTGTGAATACTCATAGTTAAAAATAATTACTGAAAAATGTGCTTCAGTATTAAATTTAAAACTGTTTAATCTAGTAATTTTATCAATAATTGTACAACACAATAAATACCATGAAGTAAATTTTTTAAATTCAATAAAAATAAATTGAAACTGTTATTTTGTTTCAGTGGTTATTCAAATTGCCATAGTGAATTATAAAGCAATTTTCTATAGCTCCATCCCTAATCTAAAAGTAATTTCAGTTTTTCATGAATTATTCTTTTCTGTGTTGATATTATTTGCATCTCTCTTTTTGTCACATTTTTCATTTATTTCGAAACCAAGTCCTAAAGTGAAAGTTCATGGAAATTTTCTGTTAGGTTTTTTACTATTCAAATAAGCAAAGAAATACGTTGATAAGTAAAAAGTACAATTGCATCCGGAAATTGCATGTCGGAAACGCGCTTCGACGCACTAAGTTCAATGAAACTGATTTTTTTCCATCCGTTTTTAATTATTGCCTCGGTGCTAATCAAAAACGGAAGCAAATGAAATCAAAACAATTTCACCCAAGAGCAAACATGTCAATTTCTAACTGCCGCGAAAAACAGTCATCAGTGAAAGGCTCTCACTCGAACCAAATAAAACAAACGGAGCGCCGCTCTGGAAAAAGAAAGACCGCTCAGAATCATCCACCGTCACGCCGCACGGTGACATGCACCTAAACGGCACACCGAAAATGAGGCGAAAGAAAGGTCTCTTTCTTTCTCGGCGCAGCTTTGTGCGCTCCAGTAACCCATAATGGGAATTTGTTGCCGACTCAATGGTAACTGCATAAACACAGACACATAATGAAATGGCTTTACTTTTTTAATGCTTTTCTACTAAATAAAAACAAACTGACCGAGTCTACATCCAAAATTATTCCAATTAAAATTATGTTAGCTTACAAACATTGGGAAAATACCTTTTTCTGATAGTGATAATTATAAATCATTATAATTGAATTAATATTATCCTGAAGAATAAACCTTTACTGGTTTCTAAAACGATTTTTGCTTATTTGAAGTAAAAAAAAATTGCTTCTGCATTAAAGCCAAATGCACAGTTTTGAAATATGAATTCTTCAATTATAGTCTTAAATTTTATCCATTTTACAAAGAAAAAAAAATTATGAATCAAAATAGTCGAGTTTTGGAGAAAGATTTAATTGTGCAATTTGACTAAATATTCTTTTGCACAGCCCTTCTTTAAAGTAAATTAAGTTAAACCTCAGATTGTATAATCAGAAGTAAAACTGAAATTATTCTTTACTTTCTGAGCTGAGCAGGTAGGGCATGGCCTTGTATTTTTCTGCCCTCACTTCCAGAGAGAGCCGCTGAAACCCAAAGCCACTTCTGTTTTGCACAGTCACTGAATACTATATTTGTATAGACTCTGAGTGTCAAGTAACTTTTCACGCTGCACGTGTAATTGCAAAAAGAAACTCTTTAGAATATCATGCATTGAAATTGGAACTGTTAACCTCGTTGACTTTAAATGATATAATTTAATTATTATACGCAAAATGTGGTGCAGTGGATCAATACTATTGATCTGAATGACCCGGCTAATTAAATTACGAAGTTGCGAATGCGAATATCAAATATATGAGAGACTGCAAATGCTCGCCAAATGTGGGACAAGACTGTAAGTTGTTTATGTTTTTCACCGAGAGTTTACTTTTCGCCTTAGCAACCAGAGAGTAGACGTGCATACAAAAAAAAAAATTTGCACGCCACCTCTGACATTGAAACCGCAGCCGACCTTTTAGCAGAGTGATTTCAATGCTTTTAGTACAGCACTGCTAAAGCATCCTTTGCCCACTCTATAAAAAAGATATGAGATGGGTTTTGCAAAAAAAAATGTAGGCAACCTCAACGCATTTGTAAAACTTTTCAATTAAGTAAAAAAATTCAGAATTATTTTCTTTTTCAAAATAAATTAGATTTTTTTTTCAATTTAATTCTGGTAAAAATAACTTGCTTTAACATCTCTATTTCTAATCAATCTTTATTCAGAATGAAAAAGTCATGCAATATAAATTAAAACTTATATGTACATATCGTTTAAATTTAAAACGAATTGGCTTTCACTTTAATTAATGCTCTATTTGGAAGCTTTTAAATGCACCACTTCAGAAAAATGTCATTCTGCTTTTGCCACTGTACAATTTTTAAATGGTTGAACATTCATTATTTCTAATTATACATTAAAGTGGTTTTCCACTTCCAGTAAAAGAGGCCCTCATCACTCTCGAATGGGATGATTCATGTCATCATGTCGCAATGACAACTTTTCCCTGCTGACGTTTTTGAAAGCCAGACAGTTTTTGGACAAACCGCGTAATCATCGCCTAAACCGCGATTACAATTTAACGAGAAAGCAACCAATTATAATATAGAAGCCTTCCAGAAGTTTGGATGCTGAAAATTATAGATGCTGCGGTTTTTGAACATAAATTAGGGCTGATTGTATTATTGCGCCATGAATATTTCCGAGGACGCATAATATAAAAACCAGCATTTTTTCTCTCAAATTGATACCATCCTGCCGATGTTAACCAACTGTGTGGCAATTGGAATTAAAAATGCGTGCCTCGCCAGCCGTGTCCACTCTACAATAAAGACTGACGTCCATTTGCAACAATGGGAATGATGATAATAGAGTATGGAGACTGTTCTCGGTGCCGCTGACCCGCAAAATGCACTTTTTGCAATTCGTCTAACTGCAAAATGAATACCAGAATTCCTGTAGCGTTTCAGGATATATAGTTTATTTAATACAATTAATAATTTGATAGGAAAGTTAAATTATTGTTAACATTATAACTTAAATAATTATTTACTTATCTTATTTATTGTTAGTTGCTAATATCACTTATTTGTGAAAAATTTTACTTTTTTATGTAATGAGATATTTTTTTTTATTTACCTTCCAATTAAAATGTTTTTAGTTTATATTTTTTCAAATCAATAAAGCAATATGAAAGTATTTCAAAACCTGGAAAAAGAGGTTAAAGACAACATTTTTTATTATGAAGTTGTAACAAAAGGCTGTTAAATTTTACACGCTACATATGAATACGTCTGTTATATTATAGCCTGACGTTTTGTGTTGCCTTTTTTGTGTGGATTCGTGCACTACTCATGGTTATATTGTGTTTCCCTGTATTCATTTGACTGTTAAATCGAAATTTTCACTTTCACTCAAACACATGCGATCATCTCTGGTTGCGAAGCCCGCAGCAGAAAAAGGCAAGCACAGTTCATTGTACCCACAATCACCGCGTCGAAATATTTACGCGATAATAATGCAACCGAATTATTGTATTAGATTTCTCGCAAGCCACGACATGTAACAAACAAACGGAAGCAGCAAAAAGCTCCGAGCTATTGAGTCAGTTTCCCACAAAGAGAGATTTATTTATTCTCGGGGCAAAAAAATATTCACCATTCTAGAACAAAATTAGAAAATTGAATTTGCTGAAGGAAACAATTATAATTTTTGTTTCAATTTTATTGTCATAATTTGTTTCCTAACCTTATTTAAAAAAATGATAATATCTCTGATTCTTGAGCATTGAGCATAATTTGAAATAAGATTGAGATTAGGATTTTCCCGTCCCAGACGTGGAAGATAAAATTTTCATTCTCAGTTCAAATTAAAAACAGTGAAAAATGAAATAGTTCCTATATTTAATAAAAATCCGGATTTATCTGGAATGTAAATATTTTTAAATTTCTATCGCAATTTCTGTGATTGTAGTTATTTTTTCAAGCAATGAAAATTTTAAGTCGACAAACTCTTAAGTACATTATGTCTATGTCGAACAAGGTAATTATAACAAACTAAAGGCGGGCCCATCTTTCAAGACGCAAGAGAAAGCTGTGACCTGTGACAAAATAACTGCTCTTCCACGCAATTTTATCGCAGTCACTGCTCTCGTTGGCAACACCTTTTTGCTACACTTTTGTTCATTCGAGCGGAGAGAAAATGCAAAATTAAATTTTCGTAATTCCTCTGAATTATTTACGATTATTTCACAAAACAATGAGACGCGTGTGATTTTTTTTTTTTTTTTTTTTTGTCGACCTTTGGCCACGAAATTATTATTTAATGCATGTGTGACATGACAAAAGTTACGGGTGCGTGGCACGCCCGTTGAGATTTCCCACAGTTATTTCGTCAAATGCAGGTAGTGACGCAAAATATTTGAATACAACTACAGTGTGAAATTTTGTGTCTCAACAAACTATCGGCTTGAAAATTACAATTTTGGTAATATTTATTTTATTTATAAATATTCATTAAAAAAAAATTCAGAAGTTTTTATCAAACTTCATCCGAGTGAAGGTTAATTGAAATAGAATACAATTATTTTTAAGCACTTTAAAATTTAGGAAAGCCTAGGGTACAGCATTATATTTTATATGATGTATATTTAATTTAATACAAAAACCCATCCGGAAAACCTTGAGTTGAGTCTTAATTATCTATCTTAATTAACTCTTGAAGTTGAGAAGGAAGCTTCAGTTTCCTCATCCAATTGTCACATGTCATGCTTTTAAATACACAAGGCTTGTCCTTCTTCAAAGTACGTGTTTTAGTGGTCGTCTGTTAATTTAGAAACGTCCAGCAAGTGTGAAAATATTACCCAAGCCTTGGATAAACTTTTGCTTTGTGCGAATATGACACCTTTGTGGAGAAATTAACCTCTCTCATTCGAACAAAGCAAACAAACCCGAGAGTGCGATTTCGAGACAAAGCAAAAAAAAAATTGTTTTCACTAAATTTTTGCTAGAATACTTCTTGTTTATTCACAGCTGTTTCGTATACTAGCTAGGCCGTGAGAAAATGAGTAAAAGTTTTCCAAGCGTGCTCTCGTAGTCATTTGAGCATCAAGATTGAATTAATAAAGTCACAAAAGCGCACCGCCATTGTATTAAATAAATTTGCAGCAGATTGAGCTTGGTTACTTTTGTTGCGAGTGAATGTATTTTTTTGGGTCCCCTTTGCGGTCGCTGATTAATGCAGCTTCAATTCATTTAAATTCACTACCGCGGTGACCCAGATGATAAAAAAGCGCGTCAGCCAGCAGCACTTCGCTCAATTAAACTCGCAACAAAATCACACACGCATAATAGCAACAGCCGACAAATTTTTAATTCTAGAAAGAACCCTGCTGCAGTTCATTCACTCTTATTAATTTACAAATAAAGAAAAGTTTTTCTTTCAAAGTTGTAAGAAATTAAGCTTAAGACAATTTCAATTTAAATAAATTTCTATGTCAAAATTAAATTAAAATATCTTTAACAAATTTTTAATATCAAGTTAACCGTCAAATTAAAATAAAGTAAGAAATGAAATTAAAATATTCCTTAAGTAACAAATAATTTTTTCTCAACACAATCTTTGCGATTTAAAAATCATTTGATCTATTTACCTTGTTCTAAAAGTATAATTTGTTCTTATTTATTTTTACAGGCGTACAAACAACCTCGTGCAGCCGCAGTGCAAATCACAAAGATTATTGCAGTCACAGTGATTGTGGCCTCGGCGATCATCGGAGGCTGCATCCTCGCCTCGGCCTGGATCCAGAGCCGCGCCACCTGCGAACTTCTGATGATGGAGCAGCAACTCCAACAGGCCCAGGTATTAACGTTTCTAATCATTAATATTTTTTTTTGTCATTTTATAGCCCCCAATTAAATAATAAATTTGTCGGCTCAAAATTAAAAGCTGGGAAAGAAAGTTTGCTGATTGATTGAAACAATTTGTGTTGCGGGTGTTTGTTTTTTGTTAAGACTGTTCTCTTCTCGTGCCTCAAAGTTAGTTAGCTTGGTCGTGAGCAGCATGATGAGAGGTGCACACAGCCTTTCACTAGAGCGCCCATCACGAATGACCCACTTGGAGAGCGCATCTTGCTCGGCAACATGCACACAACGTACTCGCTCGGCACTTTGTTAAATTGCGACCACTCACCGGGTTGGCGAGTTGTTTTCCGATCGAGTCGAGATAACTGAAATGTGTGTCGCAATTACATATTTGGGAATAAATGCTAATTATCGCCAATAAAGGCGCGCGAAAGTGGAGCAAACTTTTCTCTGTCTCATTAAAAAGAAATCAATAAACTTTAATAATTACGTATCTTAAGAGATTGTAAATCAATAAATATTCAATGAGGAAAAAAGAATGCTAAAAGTCTTGTTGAAATTTAATTTCCAGCAGCAAATGATGGCAGACAACCCTTCGTACCAAGCTCTTGTGCAGGACAACGCCGCCGAGGAGTCCAAAGAGTCGTCAACAACCACAGAACGCGCCTCTGAAGAGCAAAATAACTCGCAGCAACTCCCCGCCAATAGACCCAACAGACTTCCTCTGCAGTTGGACTTTGACGAGTTGGCTGGGGTAAGAGAAATAATTAAAATATGATGGCTGCACCCCTTGAATTTTTGAATTAGGCAACTTGCTCAACGCCTACGCAGATCAAGTTGCATAATATAAATTTTAGAAATTATTTTTTGTAGATTTACTATTATTTGTTATTAAAAACTCATATACTATTTTTCAGTTGATTTATTTTTATATATTATTTTGAAGCAAAAATATTAATTTTCCTTGCACAATTCTGCAGGCGTTGATGGACAACAACCAGAGAGCACACATGAACTGCGTAGTTGAGAAACGCCGCTCCGAGGAGCTTGTGGACCACGCACCGAGGGAAGTGAGCCTCCCCTTCGGGCTCAACCTGACTACCCCACCCAGGCTGGAGCATCTCACCGGCGAAAAAATGGTCATCTCGTGTGAAAGTGGTCGTGCCCAGGAAAGGTAAATTATTAAATTAAAAAAAAGTTTAAAACTTATAACATTTAATTATTTTGGAAGGTTTTTTAATAATGTAATCATATTGTTTCTAGGCACATGCCTCCCCCTCCTCCTCCCCCACAGGCTGCTTCTGTGCCGCTGATGATTCCTCTGCCCGGTGGTCCCATTCACCTTCCAATGCCTTTTGCCCAGCACATCAACAACCAGCAAAACAACGATCTGGGTGACTCTCACCCTATGGAACACATTGAAATGATCGTTGCCCACCCAATGATGGACCATCCCCAACCTCACCATCCCCGTGGACAGCCCCAGATGAGAGAGATGCGTATGGCCATTCTCCCAGACGAGCCCATTCCTCAAGAGTCGATGAGACCTCACTGTAATATTTCCAACCTTTGTATGAATTTCTGACTATTTTTTAATTATTCGTTTTTGCAGATGTCCAGCCGAGGTCTGTTCCTAGCCAACCCGACTTCCTGAAGAGAACAAAGCGTTGTGCTTGTGACTGCAACTGTTAAATATTAATCGCACATATTTTTTTCTCTTTAAAAGTAACAATATCCAGGCCAGATCTTTCAAAGTTTGATTTTTATAAATAGAGTGCTGTAAATGATTAACTACGAAATAATTTTGCTTTTATTTCTGAGGCTAATTTAAGTTTTGACAAGCATTTCCCCATGTGATTTGAAAGAATATGGCAAAAGTACTGAAGTGTCTGTATTACCTGAAAATAAAACAAAAATCTGGGATACAAAGATGGTGACTTAATTATTTATTAATATCTGCACATGCTATTTAAATACAAAAATACCTGCGCATTTTTTTCTAAACAAAGTTTCAAGATTTAAAATTTTGCTTCCAAGATTTGAGCAAAACTTTAAGTGGCACGACACCAGGAATCTGCATTGCACATAACATCATTGTATAAATTCAAATCATATTTGTAAATTAAATAAAAAAAGATCACGCATATTTGGACGGGTCAAAACTTTTAAAAATAATGTGGTATCTTTGATCTTAACTAAAACAAGATTCTCAAAAATAAATCCAATATAAATTGATTATAGTGCTATAATTCATTGCAATTGATGTAAACACAAATCAAGAGCAAAAAGCAATTTGATTTGTTTCAGCAGCTTCTTAAATCAGTCATAATTCTTTTGTCTAGTTGCTTTTGCTATTTTTAATTCTATCGCTAATTCTAATTTTTATAAGAGGTGTCTCAATACATGCATACAGATCTAGACTGGAATGTTGAGTTGACATTACATACTTGTCTTATACAAAGGCTTTAAAAATGCGTAAAATTGCATAGCATTTCCTTGAGGTCAACTGGAAGATTTTCCTAAAATTTTATGAGAATCCTATCCTGCTCATTTTGTCATTTGGAGGTTTCGATGTCAGATAAAAATGGCTCGTATTGAAAACTACTCCGTAGGGAGAAACTCAGATGGTGCTGCACAGTTTATTGGAATTAAGTTAGATTAAGGAAAACAAAAATTTGCTTACCATTGGGTAATCCAAAAGGCAGTGGAAAGCTTCGACGAGTTGCTCAAACGAGGGCCTCTCGTCAAGATCAACTTGCCAGCACTGCAGGAGCAACTGGTAAAGTTCGTCTCCCACATGCTGAAGTTGCGGCAAAATGAGACCCCTCATTATCCTGGCAGGCAACTCCCTGTTTGCAATTTCAGGGTATGGCGTCCCTCCAAGAGCTAGGGCCTCCCATGCTAGACAGGCAAAGGACCAGACATCACTCTTTGAGGTAAAGTGCCCACTGCGGAAAATCTCCTGGGCTGTCCATCTCGTCAAATCGAGTGGGCTCTGAAAAAAGAAATTAACACTCCAGCTTTAAAAGTGTATAATTCATTATTACCTGTTGGGTTTTGCAATATTCAGATAATCCTAGGCCACTGATTTTTGGATTGACTCCATCTGCCATGATGACTTGGCTGGCGCACAGTTTCTTGTGGAATATCTAACAAAAAAATCCATCATCAGTATTTAAAAAAAATTAAATAATGATTATCACATTTTTTCCTTCCAAAAATTTCATCCCGTCTGCAATACCCAACAAAGTGTTCAAAATGCTGTGCTCTGACAAAGAGCAGAATCGAGTTAGGGAAGCTTGCTGTTCAGGAGAAGAATGTTCGAGAATCCGGGACTCCAGAAGAACATCTTTTAAAGTCGCTGGGTGGTGTTCAATGGCCACATAGAGTATTTCAGGATGTTCGCAAGTTCCGATGAGAGAAATCAAATTGTCATGAGTTCCTGGGCGTACCAGCATGTCCAGATCTTTTAACATTGATTTTCGGTCGTCCTTTGACATCAAGACATCTTAAGGTATAGAGTTAAATAAATCAATTAATAAAAAATTTCTCTATAGATTTTTACCAGCAATTGAATGAATTGCAACTGGGACAGGAAAACCTTTATGATTAACAGTTCCTTTGAGAACTGAGCCATATTTTCCAGAACCAAGCAGGTCGTTTCTTACTTCCAAATGGTTTACAGGAATGCTCCAGATTTTAGCTTTTAAAACTTCCAAGTGATTTGTGCGTTCGTCCTCATCTTCAGGAATGTAGCCATTATGGATGTATCCATTACCCTCCTAGAAACAAAGTTTGGAGGAAAAACTAAATTTTCCAACTATTTTCTTACCACTTCCAAAATGGGTCCTTGTATTGATAGCTCTTGGTTGTCTGGCAAACGGAGACGTCGTTGGTGAACTCTGTGCCTCATAACAAAGTAGAATATAACTGAGAGGATGAGCAACACACTGAAAAACGCTATAGCAAAGGAGAGAACCATGACCATCATAGATGGAGTCGTATCCATTTTAACTGTGAATATAAAGATGACTTAAATTAATCCTTAATTCAAATGATTTTTTTAAAAACTTTAAGCTTTTAAAGTTCTTATATACCTGGCCCAACATCAAGGACAATGACTCCGTGTTGCTCGTGAGTTGCGTGTGCAAAACTGGATTTGCGGACTCCGTCTTTTAAACTGATCACGGCTAAACTTATGTGAAAGTGGCCCTCAGGCGCAAGAGGAGCATTGTAGTAACCTCCGTAGAATTTGCCATCCCCGACAACAAATTTTGTGTCCAAACTCTGAAAGAGTCATGCAATGCAAAAATATAATAATTCTTTAATAACCTTTTAGAATTCTCACATTTGGATTTAGTTCTGCAGTTATATAGTAAGGAATGTTCTCTTTTTGGGCTAAGGCATAAGCAAAGAGTGTTGATTCATTGAAGGTTGTAGGGACAGTTTCGTCTAATACGATCACTTGGTATGCAGAAACAGGCCCATTGCGATTTTTGGCTGGAGTGATTTCGATTGTTATGGAATTTTCATCCTGCGATAACACCTTGGGTACGTCTGGTTCATCTGGCTCTGAGAACAAAAATCAATTTTATTTTCACAACTAATTTACAAAAGTTTTATTTTTTAAATATAGACAATCTTTTCAAAAGCAATCGAAAGCAATAATAATAAAAAAAAAAAAAAAAAAAATACCTCCAATTTCTGTCCACACTTGGTTGACAGCAGGAACACCAACTCCATGCCCAGAGATTGCGCTGATGGACAAATTGTACTCAGTTCCTGGGTGAAGAGGAGCTAATTGGGCTCTAGAGGTGTTTCCTGCGTACTCCCACTCCATAGGAGGCATTTGTATGGAGAAACCTTGAAGGTAGTTTAAAAAGATGGTGTATCCAGTTATTGGTCCATTTGATGCTTTAGGACGCTTCCAATTTACTAGGATGCTTTTTTCGGTAACTTTGACTACTCGCAGCTCTGGAGGTCCAGGAACTTTAACATATAAAAGTATATTATTAATAGTTTGGCCAAAAAAAAAACACCGTTAATATTAAAAAAAAAAAAAAAAAACAGGTGGCATGTACAATTTCAAAAAATTTCAAAGCAGCAAAGCATGCGAATTATTTGAAATTGAAAAAAAAGAATAACAATAAAATAAATTGTCATATTTTTACCTAATTGACCAGTGGCATAAACAGAGATGGAATTTGACCCTCCACAAATCTGTGACGAGTTTCTTGTGCAGTGAGAGGAGCAGTTGCCTGGTCCAGTGTCTTCGTAATTTGAGCTGCAAAAGCAGGTGTCTCCATTTTTCAAGCTTGCATATCTGTAAAGAAATAAATATTTATTAAAATTTTAAATTTTTTACAATATTTACCCATAGTACAGGTTCAGGCAGTTTTTCAAGCAATTTTCAACCGTCGATGAAGCCGACACGGCAGGTATTTCGTAAAATTTGGCTTTGAGTTCATTTCTGAAGGTATAGCAGCCAATCTCATGCGGTAGGTCTAGAGGTAAATTTCAATTAATTTCCATTCATATTTTAAAAAATAAATAAAAATGTTACTTTCTGTAGCAGTGCCTAAATGCAAGAGGCAGCAAAGGCTGAGAAAAGTAAAGAAGAGCCGGCAAATATTACTTTCCATTTCAACTTCTTTCGGTTTTAGTGCTCCATTTCTAAAATTACACAAAGAAAATTAAAAACCTCGATTTTGAAATTATTAGTTAGTAAATTTAATTTTCTGTGAACTTCATCTATTTTCAGTCAGACATAAAATAAATATATGAAATATGTGAGTCATGCTTTTTTTAAAAATGAAAATGAGCTATTAACTTAGTATTTTGGTTTGAAACAAAATCCACGATCTGGTTAACAAGACGAAAAATCTGCAGCAAAATACAATTAAAATGATTGCTATTCTGGATTTTCGGCTTTTCCAATTTGAGAAGAAAGTTAAAACTTGGTAACATCGAACATAATTTAAAGCCTTGTGGACACGCCCTTGGAAAAAAATTGATTTCCAGTTAAATTAAATATGTAAGGAATCTTTTAAAAGGTGTCAAAAAATTTATCATTTTTAAGAAAAGATCTATTGAAAAAGAAAACTTCTCACGGTTTAGTGCTGCTAGGGGGTGAGCGGACAAGAATAAATTCATATTTCACGGCTGAAAATAATAAATTCCCAATAAAGAAAAGCCGGGGACGCGTGAACGATTCCCTTGAAAGGTAAAGCCGCAGCAACAATAAAAACAAACCGTGTTGAATACGATTGAGGCGTCCTTGAAACTCGAGGTGGGTGCACTATCGAATTGAATCCACCCTGGGAAAACAGGTGTTGCTCTCGGCAGCCCCCTTTGTTCTCTCTTTTGAGGCTTCTTCCTCCTTTTCAGCGGCCGAACACCTGCGTCCAACACGAATCTCTATGATGTATCAAAAGTATTGTGTGGTGACGTCACGGCCAGCTACCAAAACATTCAAGTCTGACCAATGAGAGATGACTTTCCAGAGAGCCGACCAATCAGAGAGCGGATCTGCGTTTAGCCATGATGGCCGCTTCTAGAACGGCGCTTCGCCGCCAGAGGCGCTGGTGTAGCAAATCTTGAGATGTTTTAGGAAGAACAACACCTTGAATCACAGCATCCCTGCGAATTCATCGCGTTTTGGCCGATTTTCGGTCTTCTGGCGGTCGTTAGGCCCAAAATGGCTCTGGTTTCGTACAGTTTGTGCAGCTAGACGGACGGTCCGTCGGTGATTCGTTGAATCCCGGGTGGTTTTGAGCTGGGAAGGTGGAAAAATGTCACAGACAGCTCGGCGGGGCATCTGATCAAAAGGACTCCTAAGATGGCGCCGTATTCTTGTGTTTTCTTCACTACTCGGACACTTGTGCTGCGGTGGCTTTTGTTAGTCACCGTGTGTGTGCTGGTGGTTGCAACGACGGCGGCGCCGAGTGGCGATTCCTCGCCTGCAGCGGCGCCGGCCGAGCTGGAGACTGCCCTGAACACGACGTTTGACGCCCACATTCCGCCCGCCTCTGCTAACGAGTGTCCGGGCGTGTGCGTCTGTGTCCTCGACTATGTACAGTGCGGACAACTCGGAGATAGTATGATCCCGGACAACATTCCTGAAAGTGTCAAAGATTTGTAAGTAAAAATTTGCAAAATTCCTCTTGATTAAGGGGCAACTTGAGGGTGGCTCTTACAGAGGCGCCACAACCTCTTGCCTTAACATCATGCTTTTGTATGCATGATTTATTAAGGCCTCGTTATTCACATCAATCAGAGACATTTTATTAATTATTCAAAAACACTAAAATTTTAATAATGAGAATTCAAAATTGGCAAAATTATGTCATTTTTTTTGTTTAAAATGCACGATTATATATTATTCATTTTGTATTATTTATTGTAATTCGTGATAAATTATGAAAAATGATGTTATTATTTCATATGAAAAATGATTTCAATGACGTTTGTTTCAGGCGACTGAGTGGAAATGGCTTTGACATTATGCCAATTTTTCCCTACCTCCCCCAACTGAAAATTCTGGATATGTAAGTGAAAATAATTAAACACCAATTTTAGGCCATCTTAAGATTATGTCTCTATGATATAAAAGAGCGATTCTGTCATCCTTCATAAAAAAGCAATTCAAGTTAAGAGCTATACAGTATTATCAGCTCATTAAGTTGTATACTGAGATAGATAAGAAGCAAACAAAGGAGTGCTCTTCAAACTCGATATCATTAATTCAATCAAATAATTATATATTATTTGCTTTTTTCAAAAACTTCTCAAATAATTCTAGTCATAGCATTATTTATTCAAGCCCAATTTGATGCTTTTGAGTGGTCTAGACATCTGTCATTATTATTTTATTTGTATTTCATTTCAAAGCTATAAATAATACCCGTCCTGGCGTCAGGTTAATGAAATGCAATAATTATAATGGGTCTGGTTTTGCAGGAGACACAACAGACTGAGAAGTCTCTCCAAGGAAGACTTCACTCCCATGCCGTCTCTAACCGAAGCCGACTTCAGCCATAATGACATCAGACTCGGCTCAGACTCTTTTCCTGCCAACTTTTCATTGCAACGATTGTAAGCATAAGCATTCCTTATGATGCTTGAATCATAACTTCACTATTTTTATTTTTTAATCTAGAAACCTCAACAAAAATCAAATAAAAAATCTGCAAGGAGGCTACATGGACGGGTGCTCCAGTTTGGTCAGACTTTCAATATCGAGAAACCAAATTTCTCGAATCGAGAAGGGCTTTTTTGCCACTATGGCCAATTTGGAATCACTGTGAGTTAAAAACCATATTATCCTTAGGAATTCTACTAAATTTTGTACATTTAGTGACTTAAGCAACAACAGAATCAATGAAATTGAAGGCATCACTTTCAAAGGACTTTCTAAACTCCAGCATATGAATTTAAGAAGAAATAAATTAGAGGAAATGCTTGATGGCGCTTTTTACGAGTTGAAAAATCTCAAGAAATTGTAAGTCACCTTGATGAAATTTGTGTTACCTTGTGTATGTTAATTAAACTTTTCTATTCAGGCAACTTGACTACAACGGTATTCCCACCTTACGGAAAGCTTGGCTTTATGGATTACCCTCTCTCCAACATCTGAATTTGTCAAACAACGAAATTTCCTTAATTGAAACTGATGCTTTTGAGTTTTGCTACGACCTGCATGACTTGTGAGTTTTTATAAATTCAATTAAGTATTTTCTCTACATTTTCCTTTAAAGGGATCTTTCCAACAACTTGCTGACCTCACTAGGCCCTCATGCCTTTAAACATCTGTCGAAACTGAAGAGACTTGATTTGAGTGGCAATCACATGTCGGATATAACTGATACTGCTTTCAGCAATTTGCCAAGCTTGGAAATTTTGTATGTTCATTCAAAGTCACAATGTACTGAAAACTAAGTATTTTGCTTTCCAGGATTTTGAAGGAAAATCTTCTAGCCCACGTTATTGAAGACCCGATCGGTTCATTCAAGCCCCTGACTGGCTTGTTGATGCTGGACCTCTCATCAAACAACATCACAGCATTCAACCCTAAATCATTTGAAGGTCTGAGCCACTTGACACATCTGGACCTTAACGACAATCCAATCAAAACGATTCAAGAAAAGGCCTTGGATGAAATGCATCGTCTAAAGTACTTAGAAATGAACTCCCAAGACCTTTTGTGCTACTGTAACCTTGACTGGCTGCCTGAGTTCCTGGTCAGCAAGAGCTTGAAACTGGATCTGCGCTGTAAACATCCGCGGGAGCTTCGAGGCGACCTAATCCGTCAACTCCGACCACTCAGTTTGCCATGCGATGGTTTTCCCAAGCCTGCCATCATCGAAGAGCCACGCTACTTAGAAGCTAAAACTGGGGACAACATTACCCTGACATGTCGAGCGTCCGCTCCTGTCCAGGAGTTGATGAGGTTTCAGTGGAAGAAAGACAATATTGTAATTTCTGCACACAAGGGCCAAGTTGACGGTGATTTGGAGAGCTTGGATGAGAACTGGCAGCAACAGTCTCTACTGAATTTGAACAAAATCAACTCTTCTGACGCTGCGGTTTATCAGTGTATTGTTTCGAACGACTATGGAACTACTTTTTCATCCAAGGCCAAAGTGAACGTCTTCAGTAAGTTGCTCATTTATCTTTTATTCTGAAAATAGTCGTTATTTAAAATTCAGCCTCACAAAATATTTTTAGAGTTCTAATCAAAATTCTGCATCAATTGCCCTGATACAATTTTCTCTATTACAGCTTTGCCTGTTTTTCTAAAGAGACCACAGAACTTAACGCTAAAGGCAGGAAGCACAGCTAGACTTGAGTGTCATGCAGAAGGCGAACCAAAGCCAGAAATTTCTTGGAACAAAGATGGTGGCAGCTCTTTTCCAGCCGCTGCTGAAAGAAGAATGCACGTTTTGCCTGCTGACGTAACTTTCTTCATTGTGGATGTCAAATTAAGCGATTCGGGAAGTTACAGCTGTTCTGCTGTAAACAAAGCAGGCAAAGTCACAACCGATGCTGTTCTTACAGTAGTTGGTAGGTTTAATTTTAAACTATGTCGTCGTCAGAATACTCAAATGCATTTATTTCAGAACCACCTGTTTTCATCAAACCTATGGAGCACAAGGATGTCACCGAGGGGGAAACCACTGTCTTGGAATGCATGGCTGGTGGCCACCCTAAGCCAAAACTAAGTTGGACTAAGGACAGCCAGCCGTTGTTAGCCACATCTCGGCATTTCTTTACTGCTGAAAATCAACTGCTAATCATCGTCAATTCTGCAAAGACTGATTCCGGCAACTATCAGTGCGAAATCGCCAATTCTGCTGGCACTGAACGAGGCTCTTCCCGCCTGACCATCATTCCAAGTAAGTTTTATAAAAAAAAAATTGATTTTTTTCAAAGAGACTGAACAATAATTGAAGAATTTTTTTATTTAGATGAAATTCTTTGTAAACTATATAAAAAACTCACTTTTTGCAGGGTCGGTTACTATTGCAAGCAGTCAGTCCATTTACGTGTATGTGGTCATCTCTGTGGTGTGCTGCATCGTGGTGACCTCTTTCTGCTGGGTGGGTGTCATATACCACACTCGGACGCGCCCAAGCGCCACCCCCACTCCAGCCCAAGCATCACTGTCATTGGGACCGGTGGTGTCGTCTGCACCTGTAATCATGCCTTTCCATGATGTCGATTCGGAGAGCAGCAAAGACAGTGGACACGGTGACTCGGCGCGGCGGAGCAATGAGGAGTTGGCCAAGGGCTACTCAAGTGGCTCCGACGTTGATGAGCAGGCCATTGAGGAAGACGAGGAGCCTGAGTACGTTTCTCGGAACGAAGTGGTGCCCTCAATGTCCACCTTCAGGCCGTACAACTCTCCAAGACAGTACAATGGGGCGGCAGATGACTATGCCTCTCGAGAGGAGATTAGGGCGTGCATTCCCAGAATGGTGTGACTGAAGTGACTTTTTTCAAATGATTTTTTTTTTTTTCATTTTCCCCTTTGTTGACCAAAAACGATTTTGTTGGTTCTTAAGTTTTGCAAAAGGGAAGGCGTTGAGCTTTTTGGATCTCAAAATTTTTGCCACAATCCAACGGAAGTATTATTTTAAATGTTAAAAGTCTACCTCACGTCTCTCCCTTTTCCATCCTTTGCAGCAACCGTCATCGAGTGAAACCAAAAAGAGAATGAGGACGGTGGTTTTTCTTATTGAGGGCCATTTGTGATGTAATGTGATTACCTTATAATTTAAATCAATGCAGCATACCTAATGTAAATACGTGTGCAATATAACCAAAATAATATATTACAAGAAATATTCAATTATTAACTCTTAGGAATCAGTCAGAAAGACTTGATCTTGCTGTAAAGCAAGACGGCCATTATTTTTATTCTTCCTCCTTTGTTTCTTTGCCCCTAAAATCAGGGTGTGAACCGGAACTAATTCGAGCACAAATTTTTAACTCTTTATTTCAACGAGCACAATTCAGAACAAGGGCAGCTTTTTGCCTCTGCATAGATTGGCCTTAAACTCCACATCGGAATGCCTTGTCAAAAGTAGACTACAATTTGTTGCGAGTATTATACTTATTGAGAAGAATAATGCTTGTTTTCAGTTGCACTGTTCCTCTTTAGCCTTATAAAGTTTTTGAAAAAAAAAATTATAAATGCTGTCAAGGTTGTGCCTGACGAGAAAGATTCTGTGCCTGATTTTTTACTCTGTACTTTTTCCATCCCCAGAATGGCTTAATTTATTCTTCGCAGCTTGAAGGCAATTTTTTTTAAATTAAATAAATGTCCTACATGTAGTAGGCTGAAAGAAGCCTATTTAGAAACAAAATTATTCCCAAATTGGTGCTATTTCAAAATCAAGATTTGAATTTTTATAAACATCAAACTTACATAAGATGAAGTAAGTTTTTTTTAAGTTTGAGTGCAATAATGAAATGGAAATTATTAACCGACTGTATGTATTCAATGTTCAACATTTATCTAAACAATTTAGCCATGGCAAACCCTATTGTTCTTCGTAAAAATTCACAATGTTTAGAGCGTTCGGCAAAAACTTTTATACTACTTACCATACTTTGATTCTATTATGCTAAACCTACTGAAAGGAATAAAAAAAATGAGCAGCGTGCTTTTGGTACCTTTCTAGATTTATAATGGCAAACTTAAGATCTTGAAAGATTTAGGAAAAGTCCATGTGTCATAAATGTTAGAGCCATAAATAATATACTTTTGAGCCCCAATATCGCTATTTTGTTAGCCGAAGTTGAAAAACTTGATGAATTACAAGACTCATTTTTTAATTGTACGTTAGGATATTGATGTAATGCATGACTCTTATGTGTATCTGTATCAGTGAATGTGCATTTTGATTACTAGGTGTATGTTGTGGATGGCAGAACGTTGTGTAGTATTTCATTAAAAAGAAAGAAACAGTGACAAGAGAATGAAGCATTTTCTTTGAAACCAGAAGAACCCTATCTTGTTGGTTTGGGGAACTGAAAATTAATAATCAGACCTGAAAATTTAAACAAGAAGATCATTTTGAATTTTATTCTTCAATATATGTACAACATGAGATTTTGGATTATTCCATCTTATTATCAGTATTTTGAATGATTCAACACACCTTAGTTTCAAACTGCATTCTTTACGTGAATTTAACAGATTTTGGCAGTATGCGAGATGGGAACTGACCTCGCTCTAGAGCATTACAAAATTCTGAATTATGAACAGCAATAAATATTTACACTAATATATTTTTGTTTTGCCTCTCCGACTCGAATAAGGTCCATTCATACACAGATTAAAAAAAAAAAAATTGGCCAAAACTTTTTGTCGATATTTTAAAACTTTTGCATACAACATGTAATATACTTGAATTCTCTCCTCTTTGCTTTGGGAGAGAAGTAAAATAATTAAGAGGTATACAGAATTTTTTTATCAATATACTATTATCATAAAAAAATGGCACTGTTGTCATTTGATAAGAAAAAATATTGCAGCAATTCCCTTGGCGTTAATTTTCAATGCTATTGAACACATTCTATTAAGAAAAAATGCAACGTGATATATCTCACTATTTTTGGCTTTCTAAATACATTAATTAAATTATTAAAATATTGCAAACACAAGTACCATTAGGGAATTGCGGCTGAAAGGGCGGTGTGTAACTTTTATCGCCTCTTCTGAAAGCTGATATACAAACAACACACCTAAAAGATATCATTTTTTGTGACAGCAATTAATAAGCAACACCTACACAATTACCACATGATTATTCTTCTCAAAATATAAAAAATTTCTATTTTTGGCGCTTTTACAATTTCCTTGGCAGCCCCTCCGGCAGGTTAAGTAATTCTGGCGGCTCTTTCAACTTAATTTTTGCAACGACATAGTTCAGTATATAAGTGTCCTGGACAATCTCAGTATCTTTTAAATACAGAATAGTCTCTTGTCTTTGTTTCATTCATTCCATCCAATCATATTTACTTTTTTGACTTAACCACAATATACCTCTAAACACAGTAAATATATTGACAATGATCGTATATAATGAGAGAATAAATCTGACTTGCGCGATCATTTTGCATCAAAAAGTCTGTTTTTCAAATCTTCACTCAAAGAATTTGCTTCAGTCGCCAATGCTGTTGCGCACGGCTTGGTAGGAGGCAGAGAAGCCCTTGCTCACAACCGAGTCGTCCGTCCTAAAACGCAGGACCATCTCTTCTCTGGTTGAGTAAATGTCCTCTGGTTTCTGATAAAACAAAATAAATGGAAATGAATTTTATTTTAAAAATAAATTAATTAAAATAAAGATTTGATTTAAACTTACGTGTGGCCCACAGTATTTGTCAAAAAAGTGGCCGGAATCTTCATCAGCAAACACCTGCACCGAGTCATACGAACAGTCGTTTTCGTCCTCGAGCTCAAAAGTGATGAACTGCAGCTGCACTACGTAGCCCGAAGGCGCCTTTATTGTCCACTCACAGTCAATGGCGTTGTCATAGGTTTGGTCCCCAAACTTTGTGTGTGAGTAAATGTGCTGAACGTCTGTTGTTGCGCGCAAAGTACCTCCGCAAACTAAAATTTCAACATTTTATTCCTTTTAAAGAAATTGTGATGAAATTCTATTATTATTAAAATATTTTAATCCAATTGTGTTTCTAATAAATTTTCTGGAGAGAAACCTCACCAATAACACAAAAACACACATGTTGAATTATTTTTACCTGTCATGTGCTCGGCCAAAAATCCCTTTCTCTGCACCGAAGCGTCAGACTTGAAGACCATGTACAATTCATTGCTGCTTGCCACAATGGGGTGCGGAATTTTGGAGCCGCAGAAGCGACCGAGAGTTTGCGAATCCTCGCCTGGTCCATCGTAGAAAGCGACGTTGTCATAGGTGCATTCCTGGTGCGGCTCGATCTCGAATTCTTTAAATGCCTGCATGGATGCAAGAAATAATTGTTAAATAGTGGTTTTCACCCAATTATTTGTTGAAGGAAAAAATACATGAAATAAATTTGGTTTGAATTTTATTTTTGCTATATGAAGTTTAAAATTTAAATATTTTTATAACCAACCAATTTTATTCTGTGACCCGGCGTGGTGGAGAACTTCCAGACGCACTCCTTCTTGCTAGGGTAGTACTCGGGGTAGTTTGGACTGTGGATGTTGCCGTGCGGGCTGTCTATCTCATGCTTGCATCCGCCTTCTTTGCACATGTGCTGGTCATCGTGCAGCATGAAGCCGTTGTAGCAGCTGCACTCGTACGACCCGATGAGGTTCTTGCACTCATGTTGACATCCTCCATTATTCACCGAGCACTCATCCATGTCTGCAAAATGTTTATTTTTTTGAAGTCAGTGACAGATATTTATATATAAAAATTGAATATTATAAAAAAAGAATGTCCAAAGATCGGATTGTAACGCTGCATATTTTTAGAACTGCTGATAACAACAAAAATTCTAAAAATATATTTATAAAATTTTCATGATAAAATTGTAAAACCGCAGCAGTTTTACTCTGTTACTTATTATTAAATTATTGAAATGAAATAATTGCTTTTTAAAATAAAAGATATCTTTTAATTCAAACCATAAAAAGGCCAAACCTGTAAAAAATACGGCAGCAAATCCAGTTTTCTGCACAGAGTTGTCGGTGGAAAACTCAATTCGCATTTTGTTTGTCTCGGAAGTGACCATTTCAGGACGGACGTTTCCGCAGTAGACACCGTGCGTCCGAGCGACGTTGTTGGAGTGGATACTTTGCACCTCAACGTTGTCATACTCACAATCGTGCTGAGAGAAATTTTGGTTAGAAGAAATTGCAAAAAATAACTCTGAAAAAACCTCACATTGTTCCCTTCCAAGTCGAAGTGTGTAAAGTTCAAGGTGATCTTGTACTGCGGAGGCGCGTGGATTTCCCAAGAACAATGCTTGTTGCTGGGGTAGAGTGCCGGGAAACTGGGACTCGTGATTGTTCCATTGGGCACAGCAAACAGTCCTCCGCAAGCGTCTACAAATTGCCACTGTTAGAGCGCGCGCCTTTCAAGAAAAAACAAGGACCCTCACCAATGCAGCGTTTGCCGTCGGAGTGCAGCTCGTAGCCTATTTTACAGGAGCAGTAATAGCCACCTAGAGTGTTGATGCAAATCTGCTCGCAGTCTTGCTCCGTGCTTGTTGTGCACTCGTCAAACTCTTCAAAAGTAATTGCGCAGCAATTAGACACAAAATAATAATTTCAGTGTAGGTTTCAATTTCTTTCAGTTTAAATCTATAAATTTAATATCTTTTTTTTTAATTATTAAAAAATATTTATGAAAAATTTCCCCATTAAAAAAAACAAAATGGTATTTATTAAAAAATATAATATGTTGCAAGAATTGATTGCAAATCTTACCTTTCATAAATGTGGCTGAGAAACCAGCTTTCTGCACAGAGCCATCCGAGACAAATTTGATCCACAGTTTATTTCCGGTGGACAAGATTTCAGTGGGTAGTTTGTGTCCGCAATATTTGCCTATCAGGGTTGAGTTTTCAAAGGAACCATCCCGCACCTCTAGATAATCATACACGCAGTTATCATGCTTCTCGATCTAAAAACCAACATTTGGAGTAAAATTTAATTTTGCGAATTTTCATAATTTTTGGTCATAATTATAGTATATTATTTGGAGTAAAAATTTAAAAAAAATCAATGCCAATTTGACGTTTGCAATTTTTCTTATGTTATTCCAATACTCAGTCGCACGGGGACACCCGTTTTCTTTTCTTAATCCTCAGCAGCAAGTTTATATACGTAAATGCCGTAATTACTGGTAGCGTTGTCTGGCAGACAGAAAACAACTCGAGTGACACATGCAAAAAACCGAGCTCTCGTCGAGAGGCCATGCAGCCTCAAGAGGTAAACCTCTCCTCAAGCTTGTCAAGGGTGTTGGTGCACCAGCTTCTGCCTTATCACCAGACAAAGCCACCACTAAACCGCGAGACTTTATTCAATAAAAACGTCCAAATGCATAAAATCGAGACGTACAAGCACTTTTTACAGCCCCTTCCTAAGTGAGTACTTCTCAAAGAAAAAAAAAACATTTTCCTAGTTAAGATGAACAGAAACTCATTTCTTTTTTCTTGCCTAAGTAAGAATTTATGCTAGGGACGACGCCAATTATATACATTTTTGTGCATTCTGGCGGAGGAGAGAGAGAGAAGAAGGCAACAGATGAAAATGCTACAGAGGAAATTGCAGCGGAGGGATGTTTCACCCTCTTCCTCTCTCACTCTCAGGCGATCGCCGCATCCCCCAATACGCCGGGGCTAATTTAAGACGCGTCCGTCCGTCCGTCGCTTCCCACATCTAAAAATAAGAGTCGTATTTTTTCACTCCACTTGCCTCAAACGACTGGAACTTGAGCGCCACCTGGAAGTTCTCGGGCACCGAGATGCGCCACACGCACTCCTTCAGGGCTGGGTAGTCTTCAGGGAAGTTTGGTGACTCTAGGTGGCCCTTTTCCATGTCCAGGTCGCCACCACACACAGCTGCAGACATTCAAAGAATTTCTTTTCTTATTTATTTTTTTTTATTTTTTCTTAAAAAATCTTTATTATAAAATAAAATTTTATTTTAATTCATCAGTTTTAGATTTGGTAAAAAAAGTGAACAGAAATGAACCTTCATAATGCGCCTGGAATCCTTGGCCACCGAGACGACCTGATGTCATGTAGACGATCAACATCCTGCTTCCTGAAGATGTAATGGCAGATTCTAAAGGCTTGTTTCCGCAGAACCTTCCTGGGAAATGAAAATTGTACAAATTGATGACTCCCATTTCAATAATTAACTTTTTTTTTAAATTAAAAAAAAAACAAAAAAAAAACAGGAAAGTATTCAAATTTAAAGCAATCCTCTATATGTTTATAAAAATTGGTAGCTAATAAATTTTTAATGTTTGAGCTTCCAAAAATTTATCCTGACCTATAACCGGTGATTTGATCCAGTATCCGTCGCGTATTTCGATGTAGTCATGTCTGCAGTCATCCGTGTAAGGCATGTCCATGTCGGTGATGTTGAGCACGATTCGTTCGCCGTGGGTGGCGGTGATTCGCCACTCACACTTTTCCGGCGTATCCGCCGGACTGGGGCTGCCAAACTGAGGAGATTGAAATGCGCCAGAGCTATCTTGGAACGTTCTGCCACACTCTTTAAAATTAAAATATAGAGCATTTAAAAACAGCAGAAATTCTTATTAAAAACACCGAATATAAATTTTAAAAAAATGCGATAAAAATATAAAATGCATGCATTTATTATCATTTATTATGTTAAAAGAATTCAATTAAAAAATCAATCATTTGTGTTATAAAAAGGGAAGTCGTAGAGAAATCAGTGCTTAATAGGATAATTTAATAAATTAAATTTAAAGTATGTTTTTTTCTTTTTCAAATGATGAGTGATGAGGAAAACTTACTTGGACATTTGTAGAGCAAATTTGTCTGAGAAACGTCGCCCTCACTGAGTCGGATGCGCTGGCCAATTTCCGGTCTCTTCTTGGTCGGCATTTGCTCCAGAGGTAAAATAGTATCCAAGTAAGAACCCTTTGAATCAAAATTAAAACTCAACTGAAGAATAATTGAAATTCAATGGGAAAATTTACCTTGGAAAAAGTGTTTCTCGCATAGTGCATAATGGAGTCATAGTCATAAGGTAATCCCAAGGAGTGAACTTCCTCAGACGTCAATTTGTTAAAGTTGTATTCCTGACCTAAAAAAAAAATTAAAAACTTTATAATTTTCACTTTTAGTGATAATTTTTTTTAATATTTGGATGATCATAATTAAAATAATTATGTATCAATAATTTTCATTAATATAAAAAATAAAACTGTGCATAAATAAAGAATATTGAGTTTGTATCTCTATCAATGTAGCAATTAATTAAAACCAGGCAATATTCTCATGTAAATTAATTTTCAGACCAACAAGCGCACAACATAAAACTGATTTAAAACAACTTCTGTGAAAGAGTGTAATAGAATCATAGCGCACGCATCCCATTTAATTGAATCAAAAATTCTGTTTGCGTTAAAAGGGCACAATTTCCAGAGGTTTGGACGTTAATGTGGGAGTGTGCCCGGGAGCGAGTGCACACGGTCGTAAAATTAAATCAACACACACTGCAGGGCAATAAATCAAAATCATTGTGCGGCGAGTTGCTTGGACAAATTAATATACATGTGTCGACCCTGTTGGTCATTATGTATTGGGCCAACTGCACGCGACCCTTTATTTCGACAACGAGCCGTAAGTTTGATTATTTGGCCCAGTGCTTTACATCAGCCTCTGGGGAGATCCAACAACGAGCGCCCCGTCCTTGACCAACAGAGGCAAATTGCAATTTATTTATTTACAGTTGCACGCATCGTTAGATCGTTATAGACTTGGAAGCTCAGCCATAAAAGAAATATTTGCAAGAGAAATTAAAAAAAATTAAGAGCTCTTTTAAAAAGTCGCAAAATAAAAGTTTAAGCTTGTATTTAAAATCGAATATTAAAGAAAAAAAATAGAACTTCCTTTTCAGTTAAGATCAAAATTTTGAAGAGCCCTAAAGAAATAATAAACTTGAAATTGATCAAATTTTTAATTTTTATATTCATATATTATAAAAAAAAAATATTATATATCAACGGAGCTGATCCATGGATCGATTTTAATTTTGAGCTAATAGCGCCTGTTGTCATGTGTCACGTCACGGATTGCACTGGTGTTTTGCAATGGAGTAGGCGGCAGGCTAATATAGAGACCAAGCACTCTGAATGCGTGACGGACGTGATTGATTCGCAATCAACCACATTAGCACTGCCGCGCTGCATTCGTGCACTCAATCGCTCACCAGGCTTTATATGTGCAGAGGATTATTGGCCCGGACAAATCGGTTTGCACGATGCTCTCGAGCACCAACAAGTGCTAAATCCGGCCGATCATTTTCCGTGCATGACCGCGCACTCCAATGCGGCATTACCGCCATGCTTAGTTTAATTCGGGTTGTTTATGAGTATGAGCAACGCGTTTCGGTAGAGTAGCAACAATAAAAAAAATCCTGTACACAAACAAACAGTCTACATTTACAATCGTTGCAACTCACTTTGATATTCACACTCTTCCATTTAAAAAATTCTCTATATTTATTTTCAAAATATAAAAATTATTAATGCTGATAAACTTCTTTTAATCTTTGGATATATTTCAAATAAGTACATAAATATATATAGAAAAATAAAAATAGCAGGAAGATTCCAGTTTTGGCGTAAAATTGCAATAAAATTTTCTTATTTAAATTATTGTTTGCTCCGTAGTTTTAATAATGTTTAAATTTCGCCATTAAGAATTGATAATAAAATGATTATTGGTATTTAAAACTTAAAATAAGTTTGACAAGGAAAACCACAGATTTTTTTCAAGAATTTTAAATTTAAAATTCACCATTTATAACAAATTCAGTACGTTTTAAAATTTATTAAATTTTATCACGCATCATTCATGATTTTTTAGGTTTAAAAGCAGAAGAAGAATATTGTATATTGCTCTTACCTGTGAGAATATTTTCCCTCACGATGGCCACATGGTGGTCTCTGTCAGGTCTGGTGTGTTCGTGCCAAAATCCAACAACATGGCCCAATTCGTGAACCACGATGCCAAACTTGTCGCAATTTTTGCCGATGGAAATCGCCTGAACGCCGTTTCCTCGGCGCCCGACAAACGAACAGCAACTGTAATAAAAATTTTGGAATCTTTTAGCAACTCTACTGAAAGATAATGTTATAAAATCACCCGCAGGGTCTTTCGGAGAATAGGATGTAGTTGGGGTGCTCGTCAGGGTTGCGTTCCACAAACTTGACGCACGTCCTGTTTTCCCAGTGGCGCATGGCCAGTTTGAAGAGGGCCTTGTGGCTGCCGCTGAAGTTGGTGTCGATGTCGTACGGGATCACGCCGTGCTCCCAAACGCGTTCCTTGCGGGCCGTCGCCGCTCGCTGGGAACGACCCAGTTTGCCTTTACGGTGACGACCCCTGAAACCAACAAGATAATAGTTTAAAAACCCTGATTTTCAGTAACTTTTTCTGGGAAAAAAATTGCCAGAAATTTTGGCCAGATCAACCTTGAGCAACAATGTTAAAGTTGATTAGTGTTTTTTTTTTAAAGAAGTTCAAAATAATGATAAAAGTTAAAGTGTAATTGTAAGAGCAACCAATAAAAAAGTGGAACTAATAAAAGCAATGTTTTTCTGAAGATTTAAAATTTTAATTAATAACTTCAATATTTAACATGAATTGAGGGAAAGATTTATTCATTGAAAATAAAAAAATAAAAAAAATATTGATTTTAGAAAAATAGAATAAAAACTGAAGGAACTTTCCTGTATATTAAAATTAGGAGAAACATTATAACTATAAAATTGAATAAATTTCATTTGTTTATTTCACAATTTGAAATTTATTTTTTAAATGTCAAGAAAGATTGTGCGAAATTGTTATTTAAATGTGCACATTCTTATTATTTATAATAAAAGTTCCAGAGCTGAATAAAAAAATTTGGAAGTTATTCAGGAAAGGCTTTCACTGTAACGTATAAAAGCTCTAGATTTACCAATTATCTTGTTCCCCAGAGAACTCTTTTAAAAACGCTGATTTGATTTGAGAGAGTTGCGAGTAATGTCCCTTAAGAGGATAAAATATAAAAGTCAGCGTTATCACTCCGTTGAATTGGTCGCCGGGGAAGCCCAAAATTGCGCCTTGTCCATGCCCGAAGCTAAAAATTTATTCCTCTCGAGCCTCGACCCGAATTTGCTGCAAGATTATCAACCCTCGAGGATAGATTCGGACACATTTGAGAAGTTCAAAACATCCCGGGTAAAAACAGCACTCACGCGAAATTAAAAATAAGCTGTGCAGGTAAAAGTGGTATGCACGAGACGATCACAATAAAGGCAAGAAAATTTGCCGCGGGACCAGAGCAGCATGTGATGTGCGAAGAATTTTTTGCAGTAAAAAAGAGACGCACTTTTCGGGCCCGAAATTAAACAGACGCAGGCACATAAAAGCGCCGTGTGTGTCATCTCTGAAATTGCCTGGGGTAAAATTTTGAGTTTCATTTCCCTCTCTTTCTCGCTTCTCTCTACGAAAAAAAAAAATTTAATTGCACATTCGACCAGAAAAGTGGGTTACGCCAGTTGAATCGCAGCTAATCCGCAGGCACTCGCTTTAATTGCAATGATATTTATTCGGGGATTAGCCGAGCGGGATAATCGGATCTCGCGCGATTGAATCACCCTTATCAGCGGCTTGCAGCTTCAGATGAAAACGAGCGAGCGTTCAATTTAATTAATTGACTTAAATTTCAGGGTGCCTTTTTCCGCTTTGGATGCTGATACTTAATTTACACACACTCACAATCGAGAGGGATAAAAAAATAATTGGATCGCGTTCGCCAAATTTAAAAAAAAAATGCATACATTTTTTTTTGCAGATATAGCATTAAAAAATTTATTTTATAATTCCTCTCAGCAACACTTCAATTATTTAATCTGGAATTGATTATTTTGTTGAAATTAAATTTTGTATAAAAAATTTCTGAAGAAAAATTTCTTGCAAAAGCTAGTGAGTAAATTAAACACAATTAAATTAAAAGTTCATATTGATGGAAGTTTTGATCTAATGAAGTAATGCATCCTCTATAGGCGAATTTTGTGTGTGTGTACCTTTGCTGGATGTTAATTGAAGCATAAAAGCCAACGATTGTCAAACATTACGCTGCACACACATAGCATTAATGCCGAGTTTGTGTCTTTGTCGAGAGTGGGAGGCGAATTATGCACGGTGCTTGTTAACTTGCTTTGCTGATGATGATTAATTTAGTTGCAGAGTGCATTAATGCGGTACTAGTTGGACCGAATTTGCTTGTACTGGCTAACAATAAGCACTTTTGCATAACGTGCTCTTGATGTTTGCATAGTACATGCAATTCCTAAATTCATTTGCATGTACAAAGAGCTTAACTAAATGTATAGTCTTTTGCAGTCTTTGCGCATAGCTCAGCTGGAGAGGAGACACATTAATTTCTTGAAGGAGAATAAAATAATGATTCATTACAATCCTTTGCAAAAAAAATTGTAACAATGAATGACAGAACTTTTGTCACTTTTGCTTATATTTGACCCCTTTTTTGGTTCATCATTAACAAACTTCAAACAAATTTAGAAAGATGATTATTTGTTAAAAATTAGCTTGAAATGAGTTTTTCACTCTAGCTATAATTCTATTTTCTGTTACTTCTCGTCCGTGACTTGTGAAACATTTCTATAATTAAAACTAAGCATTTTATTTTTAGACAGATTTAATAAGTTTTAATGTTTTTCACTCTTTTAAAAAAAAGTAATTTTGATCTGATTTTACGAGTATTCCACCCCGATATTGAAAAGATCTGCAATTTTGCACAGCAAAATAACATCATCTCCCATAAAATGGCAATATTGATGTATTGAAATAAATAAGAAGTGCTGATTTGAATTTCTTAATAAATTTTGTTCTCAAACTGGCAGATCGTTAAGAACAAGGAATAAATCAAGAAGAATTATTCAAATCAGGTACATTAGTTTTAATTATGCACGGCGAGTGCACTTAAATGCAGTGTTGTCGAGTGGAATTGATTAAGTGCATTAGGAGAGTGCGGTGCTCAACTTCGCAACAGAGAGAGGAGCATAAGCGCCGTGTTGTGGAAGGACCGCTGTAAAATAACCGGGTTGACGACAACTTATATTTTTTTTTAACCGAAAATGAGAAGTCGGGATGGAAAAAAGCGAGCGACGGGCTTAACGTGGAAGGCATTGTCTTGTTGGGGACAACCGGATCCATCACGCGAACACTCGCTTGATTTTTTACACACAAAATACAACATTTGGCAAGCGAAAGTATCTGGTGTGCGTATAAAAATTTTTGGCCGGAGGCCAAACTAAAAAAAGGTGAAATTCGGAATATGTATTTGGTGAGTGGAGTGCAAAAGTAAGGGAGGAAAAGACGCGTGCAAAAAAGTGGCAGATCATCTTTTTCGGGCTTTTACGAGTGAACAAAAAGTGTCGGAGGAAATAAAGGGTTATGGCCGACACTCACTTGTGCCTTTGTCTTGACTTATTTTTGTGCTTGCGGCGGCGTTTCGAACGCGCTGCGGCGGATGAGTTATGGTGATGATGTGGAGACAAGGGGTCGTCAGGGGTGGCGCGCAGTTGGTCCTCCTCCCTCTGGCGGGCCAACTGCTCGTCCTGCTGGATGTTCGGAAGCGCGATATCTTCGTCCTGACGCCCTGAAACACATAAAAATAAACTGAGATTAACTAAAACATCTGACTAGGTGTCTATTCATTTTAGATATCTCAGCTATAGTGAAAAAATTTAAATCCATTTTTCAACAATATGCAAAATTTTAGGTTCAAATTTAAGTTTAAAAAAAGTCTCAGATAAAGTTTTTCTAAGGAAAGAAAATAATCACTTTCATATCTATTCAACATTAAAATATTTTGAATTTCATAGTAACAAGTCTGAAAATAGTCCATAAATTTAGTAGTTAAAAATAATCTGGAATTTAAAGAAGTCTCAAAATGTTAATTATAATACAGAAAAAAAATATACTATCAAAAATTTTAACTATTTAAAGTCATTATTGTAAGGAAAAAGTCCCGAAGATGACAAATATATTATTATTGTTGCTGTGTATTTGCATTTTTCCAACAATTGCTTGTATTCAAATGATTGGAAAACAATTTTTTTTTTAAAGAAAATGAAATTTTTGCTAGAACGGCATCGCAGCTGGCAAGAATTTTGCTGAAACTGTTGGGATCAAGAGGACTCACTCTGACAACGCCTTTTAAATAATATTTGCATAAATATAAATTTATCTGACTTAATTATTAATAACTGAAAACTGTAAACCATACCCAGCACTATTTTACTAAATACGTGGTTCTTTGCTTCTAATTAATATATTTTGGTTTTCATTGTCAGATGCTTTTATAACAAGGTGAAATCTTATTTCCATTCAAATGAAAACCAAAATTGGTATATATATGCGTTTTGCAGGTGAAAAATCAGAGTCATTGTCAGTACTAAAAACGTATCGCCGACTCCGAGTAGGGGGTGTAGAGGGCCATAAATTTATTCAGAACAAAGCTACTTTTCCCTTTTCAGAAAATTAAAAGCGTTGGGGGGTGATGGCGCTAAAGCGATTGTGGCGCTTTTGAGTTGTGCACAAATCGGGACAGGGAGCAGACGAAGGGGATGTCAAATAGGAAGGAGCACTTCTTCTTCGCTCTCCGTCGCCACTTTTAATGAAGTTAATTATTGGGTCGAACAAAAGGAATAATTAAGCGGAGGCGAGAGATGCTGACTGGGCTGTTTTTTTCTGTTTTTAATGGCCGAGAGAGAAAGAGAGTGACAAGGGATGCTTTTTTCAGTGTACATTACCTTCACCCTCGGGTATGAAACTCGGGTGACGAATTTTCTGTTCATGGAAAAAGCGAACGAGAGGAAATCGTCGTCATCATGAGCACGTTTTGTCGCCAATTTTCGCGCCGCCACCGACAACATGCACGCACATCAGAGTTTTTGTTTAATTTGTGTGTATGTGTTGGTGAAGAGGCGGGGGATGTATTTCATTATTGCCACCACATCACTCCGCCGCTTTTTATTTGCTCATTTAAATGTGCGTGAGGCACGGACTGCAAGAATAGCGCAGCAAGTAGGCATATTTTTAGCTGATTTTCAAATTCATTTTTTATGAAAAGTCAATTGAATGTGAAATAATTATTTTTACTTTAAATAATGATACCATACCAAAATAAAAAAATAAATATAATAAAACATAATTACTTTTTCTTTAAAAAAAAAAATGAATTAATGGAGCATTCCAGCACAAAATGATTATTATTTATTGCTGCCAATTACTCCATTTCACAGGGTCCGATAAAATCAACAGGAAATAAAATTTGCATGTTACTCATTTAGTAAAAGTAAGTTTTAATTTTTTCTAGAAATTAATTTTAAATTGTATTCCCAAAATAATACATTTCATGTACAATTTAAGGAATTTGTTGGGAAATAAAAAAATCGCATTTGAAGAATAATTTTCGTTATTTGCATTTCAATTTTTGCAGTAAACTCTAGACTATGCAGCAATCAGTTCAAACGGCTTGTATTTTAGTATCCAGACAGTGCCAAGGTTCAAAATCTCTGCTGCATCAAAATATTTACTCAAGGTGTTCCAGTCATAAAATAAAAATAAGCAGTGTCCAATTTCTGGCGTTTTCCAGACGACCGAGTTGGCAGGCAGTCCGTTCCTGTTCGGAGGCAAAAGTTGGAGAGCGTTTTGTTGTTTTTGCGTGCGTGTGTTTTTGAAATGACAAAGGGATGCGTCGCGGTGTAATTTAATATCGAGGCGCGCTTCTCGTTTTTGTCGGGCAAAATGATGCTGAAAGAGCGAGCGAGCGGGAGAGAGAGAGAGAGCGAAGCGATGATGGGCAAAGGGGTTAAAACGAGTGGTGCTGTAGCTTTTTGCTCTTTATAATTTGTAAGTCTTCTCGTTCGACACAGCAGCAGCAAAGCCGCGGCCAGTGAGCATTGTGGGGGCGCCTGCCTGATGTGCCGTGAAATTTTATCCGCCACCGGTGTTTTTTTTTCTCTCACTCGCATGCACTCCGAGAGGTGGAATGATAAATTTTGGTGACCTTTGCACGCACTTGTTTATCCAGCAAGAGCTCTCGGGTCAATTGGGGCAAAGCAAACAACGTGCGCGAGTAACATGAAATGTCTCACTTGAGGCCGAATTGATTTAAATTTTTATTGACTGCGCACGTTTTAAATAAGTACGTTCGAACTTTGTGATCTCGGCCGCTTCGTATAAAGAGTTGAATTGCAAAAATCATGCTGTCTAGTCAGCGATTGAGCTTTGGTACTTTGGGTAAAAAAATAATTGAGGAAAGTTTATGAGTTCAAACGGCCTTTAAGAAGAGGTTGCTACTTTGAGTAAAAAAATAATTGAGGAAAGTTTATGGGTTCAAACGGCCTTTAAGAAGAGGTTGCTAAATTGAGCTTATTGCATCAGATCGAAAACAAACATTCAAGGCAATTTGTAATAAAACTATATAAATATTGTTTAAAGAAGTTGATCATGGTAATGAAAATTCGGGCTTTTCCTCGTTGTAAAAATTGTTTTTATTAAAAAACAAATGGCTCTACCAGTTTCGGTCACGGTCTGCGACCTTATTTCATGAGCAAGAAAAATTAGCAAATTTGCTAATTTTTTGCATTTTCTATTTGTTTTTGAATAAAAACCATTTTTACAACGAGGAAAAGCCCGACTCTTCATTTCCAAAACTATGAATATTTTAAGATTTCACAGAGAGCGTGCAATGATTTTTTTGCAAAATCTTAAATTTAGTTTCATCTATTAGGTATTTTGCAGAAAAATGTGGACGTTTTTACGGTATTATTTTGGTTAGAATATAATTCATGAATAAAAGAATGATAAAAAAAAAACGCTACCTTTAGAGGGAAGGTAAATTTTTCAATTTCCATCATGATGCCGTTTTCTCAAAATTATCTCGTTTAAGTCTATGTATTATAACATCTTGCACAAAGCTATTTTTAATTATTTATTGTGTACATATTATTTTTTTTTTAGAATAAATGAATGAGACAATTTTATACAAAATAATGTTAACTATTTTTTTTTAACAACAGTTTATTAAAATCGGCTAAACCGCAGAATGTGCGGTTTCCAATTTTTTTTGTCTGCTCTGCGGCGGCAATTGGGGTTGGAAAATCTGGTGCCATTTTTATTTTTAATTAAATCGCCCTTCGGCGCCGCCGTACAGCCTCTTTTTATTATTAGCCATTTAGCAGTGCGGTAATGGCCGAATAATTTGCACGATAATTGATGTGTATGTGCGGTTATTATCCTGCAGAGGCTATAAAAATATGCCGGTGTGCTGGCGCACCAAATTAAAAGTCATCCTCGCCTTTGTTTGTGTTGTGCTCTCGTTTTTCGCAACCCGCCAACAATCACGTGCAACAAAAAATTTTAATGAAGAGAGACGCACAGGGTCACTTGACTTTCTCAAGTTTCCATTCTAAATAATAAAAAGTTAATTGAAATTCACATTTTAATTTATCTCTTGAATTAATTTATAAAATCTTTATTTTTTTAATTTTTAAAAATATTTCATCTAGTAAAGGTTTTTCTTTTAATTCTTCTTCTTTTTGAATTTATGAAAAATTTTTTCATTGCGAATGTTGTCCTTCTGAGGCGTTTTAAAAAAGAAACTGGTCGCCATCGATCATATCCAGGTCATTTACCAAATTAGATTCAATATATATGGGTGAAATAAATCGGCTGAAAGGCAGCAAAGGAGATTATCTCGTCTCATTCAACCGGCCAATTCCCTTTCTCGCTCAATCGTCGTCGCACGCTGCTGAAAAAGAGGGGCTTTTGAAATTGCGCTCCGCGCCCGGTGAGATGATTTCAAGTCGAGATAAAAAGACCCCTTCATGTTTTGTGTGTATTGCACATTTCCACCCGAGATGACGCATATTTCTCTCAGCACAGAGCTAATAAGTAGTTTCCCAGTCCCGCAGGAGGAAGCTTGAATTGAAATTATTATCTACTTTGCCTTAAATGGAAAAAAATAATCTGGATAATTTCGAAAAATAAGACTCCAACTTGTTTCCAAGAAAGGCTTTTGGTAATGAGAATTTGCATATCCTGCGTGTAACGCATGGCTAATTTTGTTTCAAAAAATAGCCTTGAAAAATAATTGACCAGACTGCAGAGTCATTCACCTTACAAAATATGATATTTTCAAGACGATAATTTGCGTTTGGGTAAAATGATAAAAAAATGAGGTTTTAAGCTGAATTCATCGGAATCAAAATCAATAATTAATTAATTAAATAAAAATTCTTTTTCCTTAATATAATAAATATATTGGCGAAAATGTTTTTTTTTTTTATTATTATCCTCCAATATTCATTCTCTCTGATGTTGATGGATCTTTTGATGTATTGTTCTTATTTAAAATATATGAGTTTATTTTGGCGTGTTTTTTTTTTTGGTATTTATTTTTTAAATTTAGTGCCCTATCCTCCTTGAGAATCAAATGAATCATAAATCTATGAGAAAAAAATTACGAAAATTTTAATTTTTCTAAATTGTTTTAATGAAAGTTTATTTAGAGAGGTTTCTTTGCTTATAAACGACTTTATACCTAGGACTTTTTCGTTCAAAATGAAAAAAAAAACATGCACCTTTTGA